TTAGTTTATCAAATGGTATATTTTTACGTATTACTAATTTTTTTTACCACTAATGCATATAGATTTACAGTAAATTACATTTATGGATATACTAAATATATATATATATATATATATATATGTATATAAGAAACTTCATTAAAAATACAAGACAAATAAATATAGTATTGACATCATTATTATAACTTCAATATAATAATTATTTTAATGAATATACCACTTGGTGTATAATTTTATTCAAATGGACTAATATTCGGTATTTTTGAATATGTATTAAACAGTAATCGGCTTAAATATTTCAAAAAGTTTAATTTCAGTTAGGTAGATTTTACTAAATTTCCATGAGACTGAATGACGATTGAACATTTATTTAAATATAATTACCATAGTTTTAATTATAATAGATTTTTTTTTTTTTTTGAAATTTCAGATATTCTAATGTATTGGAAGGAAAAATGAATTTATTTCGCAAATATCAATTTTCATAAGGATAATATAATAATAATATTACAAATGAAAGATATTGTAAAAATAAATATTGAAAAAATGATAAAATAAATGTCAATTATAATATTAATGATTCGATTTTAAGTTTGAAAATTTCATTTCAAAATCCTAGAAATTTATTTGATGAATATAACTTATTTTGTACTAATTTAAAAAAAAAAACATAATTTAAATATTAGTTTACCATTTCTTTGACGCATGTACATATGTATTAACAATTAAAAAAACATTTGATTAATGCTGGTTATTTTATGCATTTTATGTATTATTTATATATGAAAATTTTTAAACATATATAAAGTACTGTAGATATTAAATTAAATATCTAAATTATATTATATAAATATTTTTATCAGGGTATTACATTTTTTCATTTTTATCCTGAAATTTCGTTTAATTTATCGATTGAAATATTGGCAAATTGAATTCAATACATTTATAAAACTATTAATATTAGTTCCTATTTATTTTTCTTCTTCTTTTTTTTTTTTTTTTTTTTTTTTTTTTTTTTTTTTGTACAATTTGTTGGCGGACCCAACATAAAAGCTTACCTAATAATATTATAAAACGATTCTCCATCCAAATGACTTTTTGATGTATCAAAAGCATGAAAAGTTCTGCAATTAACAGCTTGGAGATGCTCCATGACACTAACTGACAATTGTAAATTATGGAAACACCAGAATCCTAGAGATACGGTGAAGCAAGGAATATATTCAATGACCGCATCTCTCCCGAATCTTAAATAACAAATATCAATATACCAATATAATTATTGCCTACGGACTCCAGTACAAGCTTTTTCATTTTAAACTTGCATCGGGAGCAAAAATAGAATAATGAAACGATGCACTAAAGTTATCACGCTCAAATTATTATGTCTAATTAGAATAGCTTGATTATCATTTGTACTCATAATAGTAAAAAAGTTTTAACGACGTTAATTAACTTGTCCGTTTGATGTTTAAGACATTGAATGAATGCGAGCTATTTTGAATAAAAAAAAAACAGTGCTAATCTTTTTTGCTTAATTCATAATGAAAACGCTAATTGATGATTAATAAATTGATGAGCATTCTTCTAACTATTATTATTTTTATTAATATAGTATAGTATATATATATATATATATATATAGATTCCAGGTTTTTTTCTTTTTTCAAAGATTAAATTTTGGATAACTACAATCTTGCTTGATTCGTGGTTTGCCACAGGCAAATTGTCATTTTCCGGGTTTTCGAGTAGATGCTACGTATTTTCTCACCCCTTTAGCGCTATATGTATGTTCATACTATCTTAATCATATCGACAATAAATAAGTAAATAAATAAATAAATAAATATATATATATATAAATATATATATATATATATATATATATATATATATAATAACAATCCTTTATTGACTTTATCTGTTCTATCCCTATATTTAAAAAAAAAAAACAAATACTCGCACTTATTTTCATTTCAACAAGATAATCAGAAAATATATGTAACAAATTAATACCGTGACAACGCATCTTAATATGTCAATTTTTATTATAAATCACTTCTAATCCCAACTGGAATTCAATTATCATCATTCAATCTTGTCTTTTTATTATGTTATTATACATTTTTCATCATCAATGTAGAATAATTATTATTGTAGTTGTAAAAGAAATGCGATAAACAAGGACGAAACTTGCCCACACTTTGCTCCCACCAGGAAACTGATATGGCTATAGACTAATTCTAAACATACATGATTTTATAAAAATATTTAATCAACAAAATTTGTAATACTATCTAACTTTTGTTTATAATATGTAACTTATCAATCCATTCCATTATAAACAACTGAATGAGTAGGGAGTTTAATTGTTTGCAATCGAAGTTTACTGTCCTTTTACAATTCACTTTGGATAAATGATAAGCATTTCACTTTCCCCAAATCAATATTTTTAATTTCTGTTTCACTTTATTTTCGTCGGCTGGAAAACCTTTCCTTATTTTAAGATATAATGGCGATAAATGAGATTACGAGTTCTTCCTTGTGTGGTAATGCATTGTTACAAATTTAATAACTTTTTATAAATGTATTTAAGAATAATATATATATATATATATATAGAATATATATATATATATATATATAAGAATAATAATATATATATACGTTAATATAAATCTTTTAACTTTACAAATGTATTGTTGTAAAGTTTTTAATAAAAAAAAATTAAAAAGAGTTTATATTTAAAAGGGGAAGGTGTTTTAAGTATAAATATGTTAAAAATAAAATGGAAAATAAGACATATATTGTCCCTAAAATTGTACGAAAATTTGTAAGCTCCTGTAATGATAAGACAATCTTTAGTGTTTATATATGGGAATATTGTATTGTCGTGGGAATATTGGACACGCATACATAATATTGATCTACTTTGTCGGCCATTACGATATATAAATATATTTATAAACGTTCATTATTTGATATTGATGTTTTCCATTTTTGTAGTATTCCGGAGATTTATATAAATATCATAAATATGCGTTTATAGATACTTGGAAGCATATTTACTAAAGCATTTTTTAAAATACTGTATAAACATTAATAATATATTCTAACATATATATTTGTATAATTATAAAAATAAAATGCTATACAAATAATGCAAAATGTTGAAACAAGTTCATTCATTATACGATTACTTCACTATCGATTACTTTTAAATAACCTATTAGTATTATATAACTAACAATGACAAATAAAAATGAGTTTATTAATTGTTTTTTTATACGGAACAAATCAAACTTCATTAATTTGTACTATATAACATTAATTATTTGACATTATATTAAAGATGATAAGCTTCATTCGGTTACTTCGTATCAATTTCATATCATAATATCATATTAATTGCTAGTGTAAATAATAATTTAATGTTACGTTATTAGAGAGTAAGAAGTCTTATTTTTTATTCTACTGAACTATTAACGTATTTTCTATTATCAAATAATACAGAATTATAATACAAATATAATGTTGCTTACTAGAGAATTATAAAACTTTATATGAAATTTGAAGAAAAAAATATGCCTAAATATTGAACAAGTAAGACTCGTGGAATAATTATAACGAAATTCTCATGATTGGAATTTTGAATTTAAAAAATGAAATCCTACGTACAACGTAAACTTGCGTCTTTTATTTGGGCAATTTTACTCCTCGAGTATCTTATTCTTGTTATAGTCATAATTCCACGACACTGTAGCGATAAAAAAGAAAAGGAGAGCGAGTAGCATTCAGTGAAGTTCACTTTTCTGCTTCCCCCTCAACAATGAATTTTCGCCTATTTCTCTTCGCATCGTTTTTTCCTAGTCAGCGCTTTTTTTTTTTTTTTTTTTTTTATTATTATTTTAAACTACGAGTTATTCGGAATGTCACAATGATAAATGGCAAAATGATGAAAACCTTAAGTAATGGGTATGATACAGCCAGTCGTGGAGAAAATAGTTTTTACACAATGAAAAATCTTGTTTTTATACAGTCTTATGAAAGAATAAACTGATTGAATAAAATTTAACTGTTATAAATTTCAATTTGAGCCGAGTGTTTATAAATCTTTTTAATGGAGTTCGACACAAACGAACTTTTTTTCTTTTATCATTAATGAAATCACAAATCGCCGTACTTTAATAATGAAAGGCTGTTTTATTGATAGAAGCCTTCGGTGTTTATAATTATCAATTTTATGAAAATTAATATATTATAGTATCGATACTAGAATGCAAGTGAAATTATTCTATAGCCACGCCAGCATTGACTTTAGTCACGTCTAAAGATAATATTTCACCTATTCAACGTTGCTCGTAACGCGATTTGACACGTAAAATATCGTATTTAATGGTTTTCATAATTGATTACTATTTACTAATCTTTTGAATTTTAATCGCACATTTATACCAATGTGATTAAATGATGCAGAGTAGGCTAGGCTGTAGTAGACGTCCATAATCTTGAAATCAATTATAAAAAAAAAAATGTAATAACATTATGTATAAAAATAATATTGGCGTTTTTTTATTTATTTTTTATTACGTGGCATGCTTTATTTCAGTTATCAAAATTACTAAAAATAAACACACTTGTTCGCTCTTCTACATTTCTTTATTTGTAGTTACAGATCATTAATATTTGTCATTAGAGTATTCCAATGTTGGTAAGTTTTTCGATAACAAATAAAAAATTATTAGATTTTTTTTTTTTTTTTTTTTTTAATGAGAGAATAAAAGCAGAAAAGAGGTTAATCGTTAAGATAGTACAATCTAAATTGAGTATGATATTGTGTTCAATCTCATTACATTGTAACTTATTACGATGCACTTGGACACGTCAAATGAAGAGGGCGTTGGACGTCAATCAATTTTGTTCGCAAGCCTAATCGAGCTTCAAGTTCGTAGTGAGAGAAGAGCGAGAGGATCATTTAGCTCACCACAAAGACAAGTCTAACATTATAATGCGCTATCGGGGTGAGAAATTTCATTTAACGATAACATTAGTTGTATATATCTTGCATATTTAGTTTCATCGATAGGTAATTACAAACAAAGAGGCACATGCTGATTTTAGAACTATATTTCATTTGAAATGTCCGGCATCTGTGTATACGAATTTCACTGCCAATTGCTTCAATTCATTTGACTGGCATCTGAGCAACACAATCGCTCTATGTAAGAAATTAATTAATTAACAATTCGACGGCTGGAAAGAGAGGGAAATTAGACTGACAGCACAGTTCGGCGTTTCGCCTTTTCTACCTTGTAAAATTACGTCGTAGACGGTAGGCGACGGATGACGCCCGACACTCAATATGCAAGAGCAACACGCGTAAAAGTGATTGTGTCTGGTGATGATTGGGAGGCAGGTTACGAGAGAATATTCGGTAACATCGGGTCCGTTGCTTGCTATCAATGAATGGCCGAGGAGATGATATAGATTTTGCATAAAAGGAGATCGAACCAGTGTAAACATTATCGTAGTACTTGGCAGTCTTCGTTTTTTTTACGCGAACGTATACTGTTTACGTACGTAGTAGGATTTCGAAGTACGGAAAACCCTGTGACCTCAATTCTCTAATGAATTGCACGAGTATTCAAACGAGAGCGATACGCAGGCAAGAATGAGCGATCGATCAAGATGAGTACTCTGTACGCTGTTTAAAACAAAAAAAAAAAAAAAAAAAAAAAAAAAAAAAACAATCAAAACAAATAGAGTTCGATTCTGAAAATAAGTACGAGAATTAAGCAATGAATTGAACTTTCGATTACGGAATATCGATCAACTAGGAACAGTATTACTTTGGAGTCTCGAACTTTAAGAAATATTGACCTGTTGCCAATCTATTGTTTGATGAACAATCGTTTTCGAAAAACCATCGTAATAAAAGCTAATTTTATATAAATATCTTTTTATGCCAATCTTAAATCCTTGCGCAAGAGTTATGTATATTCATTTTTTTTTCAATGATATTGCAGTGAAAATAATATACCGAATGCTTGGTTCTAATTTTTATATATATATATATATATATATATATATATATAGATATATATATTTTTTTTTTTTATTGAATCATAAAATTATATCAATGGTTGTCGGAGTTATTATCTCCATATTTATTGTTAAAATACAGTTAAAAAAAGTGTAAACGATAAATGATTTGATATTTCATTTTATTATAAAAAAAAAACAAAAAAACAAAAACAAAAAAACAAAAACAAAAAAAACCATCAATGATGGTTGTATTTGGAGCTAAGTTGCACTTCATATACGTAAATATAAATATACATGACTGTCGCAAGTTTATAATTATAATTCATAATAAAATAATTTATTATACTTTCATACCGACAATTGATTGAGACAATTGAAAAGTTCTATCTATTATTGGAAAAAAGCTCAAACATCTTTATGAAAATATTTTTATCTTTTTATTCGCGCATGGGTAGTAGGAGAAATCCCTTGTGCAATATCTAACATAATAAGTTGATGACCTATAAATTATATATATATATATATATATATATGAGTTTTTATATTCCAATAGGATTTAATACTTTTCCATTTAGATATTAAATTTGATATAATGCTAATTAATAGCAAGGTCATTATAGTCATAATTACTAATCGAAGGCTTTATCATTGCACACAGAATATGCAGAGGCAAAGGCGAAGGCCGCGTCGGACGCGCATGGAAAGGCTTCCCCTGCACATCGGTCTCTTCCTCGTCTACGTACTCTTCCAGCTAGTCTCCTCTTCGTTGTCTAGTTCCTCGACCACGCCCCCGGTCACCTCGACCGCGACGAGTCCCAGCAAAGCGCCGGAAGCGAGTGCGACCCCAAGAATACAGTCAGCCTCGACGAGCAGCAGACAAGAGAATGAGAAAGAGTCGATGCTCGACGAGACGTCCACCAAAGCCTCTTCCACCCCCGTATCCAAGGACAAGGAGAAGGAGGACAAAAATGCGACGACGATTAAGGAAGACTTGGAGAAAATAAACGACACGGCAAGTATATTAAGTATATATCCGACTCTACGAAAGGATTTAGCGATTATATCACGTAATTACACGTTTGCATAATATGCGCAACGATTGATCATTTTGTAGAGGACGGGGGTGCGTTTTATAGCAGATTTTACAATTGCAATTATATCGCAATGAAGAAACAAAATATAAATTTGTAGAGGTACTATCACTTGTTAATTCGCTAGCAAGGCCGATCTCGGCATTATTTTATCGCCATTTAAGATGAAACGAATATTCATTGTTTTATTAATGCCTGTTACGATGCTGCAGTCAGTATGAAAGAAATTGGATTGCTCCTATGACATGTCGTCGCTTAAAATTGCAATTCATCGCGATTAGCTTGAAGCGATAAAAATTTTAGATTTAAAAGTGAAAATGCGCAGGCGTCGATGGATTCTCAGTCGACGACGGCGTTCGTCGACCCACACCCGACATGGCGACCTCGACGCGAGAACTGCTCACCCCCGGCCATCGAGCAGTTCCCGAGGCCCCTCATGGGGCCCTACGTTCGTAAGCACGGTGGCCTTGTCATCCACGTCCTCGTAGCCGTCTACACTTTCCTCGGGCTGGCCATCGTATGCGATGACTATTTCGTCGCCAGCCTCGATCGCATCTGCGAGGGTAACCATCTTCCTTCCTTATATTGTTTGCAATTTTATGACTCGAGTATTAAATTGAATTTTCGAAGCTCATAAGTATCTATTGTTTGTTTACTCTTATTGCAATAAGCCGCTCAATATACGCTTATACGCAAAGACAGCAAAGTACCAAATGCCAAAGTCTTAAAATAATTTGCTCACTCAAAAATAAAAAATGATTTTAGTGTGCTTTAATATTTGTGCTTTTAAAATAATTTTACTCTTTTATTTGAAAATTCCATGCAATTTTATTACTTTTATAAAGATTACATAATACTACTAAATAATAATACTAAATGTAACAAAACGAGAAGGAATGAAGAATAACGTAGAAAAATTTTCTCCATCTAAGCCATGTTTTAAATGATATACCACGCCGGATATCCCAGGGTCTCAACATTTCAATTAAATTCCGTTAAAATTGCCGACGACTTTTTACAAAAGCTATTATTACATTAAACTTTATATCAAATTGTTTTCTATATTATATTACTGGCTCCTATTTAAAACGAAACGTGCTGCTTCTAATACTAAATTTATGCTTTAATTTTTACAACATACTGCCTATACTAAAAATATTCAACTATTATACGGTGTAATTATTGAGTATTTATTAAAAAAAAATTCCCATCGATCGGCATTCGTCTACATATAGTTCAATTTACTTTTGACCTAATTGACCTAACTGCACTAAACCCAAATGAACGGTATAATTTTATTTAAAAAGGATAGTGCAGTGCTATTATTTACACATATCACAATACACTAGGGGACACGCTTAACAACATAATTTTCTCATTTTTAGAGCTGAAATTATCTCCTGATGTAGCCGGTGCTACTTTTATGGCTGCAGGATCTTCAGCACCAGAATTAGCAACCGTAGTTATAGGAGTCTTCTTTGCCAAGGACGACATTGGCGTAAGTAATACGAATTATTGTAGAGAATCTTGGAAAGTTGGAATTAATATGTCAATAATTCAATTTAATCAAAGCCAATAATAGATCGCGTAATTTTGTTAAATAAATGTTTAAAAATATTGTTTGAAAAATGAATTTATATTATATTGTATTAAATACGTTTTATATACAAGGCAAATTAAAAAAAAAAAAATTTTTTTGTCAAGTTGAATTCATTGAAGTAAGCTCGATCAGCTGCTCTGAAATATTGTAAATGAAAAAAATTTGTTCTTTTCTATCATCAATTGGAATAACTTTGACATTACGAATCTTCGACACTTGAGTCATTCAAAAACAAAGACACAAAATTTTAGATAAAATTTTAGATCGGCATACTTATTTGTATAAATATTGATGTAATTATTTTGAATAAATAGGTTAGCGGCGTAATAGGTAGTGCCGTCTTCAATATAATGTTCGTAATATCCGTATGTGGCCTCTGCACCAGCACGGTCTCCAAATTAAATTGGTGGCCACTTTGTCGCGATTGCTTTTTTTACTTCATATCCATCTTAGTCATGCTCGGTACTATCGCCAACGAATCCATTTCATGGTGAGTTTTAAATAAATTTCTCTTTTATATATACAACAAGCCTTTTCCAACTTTTATAATAGTGTCAGTATTAATAGAATATAAATATTTTTCATTCAGGGGAGAATCATTGTTCATGCTGATAATGTATGCTGTATACTGCGTTGCTCTGACGTTTAATGGCCCGTTGGAACGATGGGCAAAATCCTACAACATTCCCTGGTTACCCAAAGACGAAGAGCAACCTGCCGAACAAAGTGCTCTCGTCACGTATAAAAGTTTGCAAGAAGAACGCCAAGGCTATACAGATCCGAACAAGACATCGATTGATCAGCCAAAAACGAACGAAGGTCTCTTTTTAAGAAATTTCTTATATTTCACAAGAGCCATTATATTTTTATGTTTTTCATTATTACAAATATATATATATATATATATATGATTCTTTTAATTCAAATGTCTCAAAAGCTTATACCTTTAATTTAAAAGTTCCACTACTTACTTTATCAATTATTTAAAATGATTATCATTTATAACATTAATACTCTTGATCAGGCTATTCAACTGGTGACGCAAGTTATAATAATTGGCAAAATCCAAGCTCGGGTGCAACTAACCAGTGGGATCCAAACGACGCTTGGAATCAGAGTCAAAACGACCAATGGAATCCCAATGACGCGTGGAACCAGTCTCAGCAGCAGCCACAACAACAGCAACCGATACAGTCACCACCTCAGCAGCAGCAGCAGCAGCAGCAGCAACAACTACAACAACAACAACAACAACAACAACAACAGCAGCAGCAGCAGCAGCAGCAACCGCAACAGGAACAATCGGCTCGACCGGCAGCGCCAAAACAACCACAATATTATAAAGCTAAAGAGCCCGATCCAAACGAAGTGTCTCCGTTGGTTAAACCAACCGATGGCGGAACATGGGGACTCTTCACTTGGGGACTAGTTTACCCCATTCACTACATGTGCCGCTTAACTATGCCTGATTGTAGACAAGAGAAATACAGAGGCTGGTATCCCTTCATTTTCTGCATTTCCATGATTTGGATCAGCTTTTATAGCTACATTATGGTCTGGATGATTACGATAATAGGTAAAAATATTTACTTCAATCGAAAATTCATGTCTAATTGTGCTCATGTTTATTAAGTTTAAATTTATTAAGTTTAAATAAGCCTGAGATGGCAAATCGAAATAGCAAATCTACAAGTTTTGCTTAATTATTATAAGAGTTGAACAATTGAAGCAGTTCATTGATTACTTTGTATAGTATATATGGTAATAAGACTTCAATCGCCAATTAATTCGTCATTATTATGCTTAATTATCTGACGCAGTCCATTCGTATGAAAAACCATTCCCACGATTGAGCGACCAAAATTCTATACTTTGATCATTTCAGGCAGTACACTCGGAATTCCTGACACTGTGATGGGGCTGACATTCGTAGCGGCAGGTGTTAGTGTGCCGGATGCTCTATCATCACTGGCGGTGATCAAAGAAGGTCTTGGCGACATGGCCGTAAGCAACGCAGTCGGCAGTAATGTCTTCGACATTCTAGTTTGCCTTGGCCTGCCTTGGTTCATTCAAACTGCCATGATACAGCCAGGCTCGCATGTAAACGTCACTAGCAGAGGTGATTACAGTATTATAAAAAATGATTGACGAGGCATGGGTGCATAATGGATATTTGCGTTGTTATAAAATTAAATCAAATCTTTTGTACAACAGGTCTCACGTACTCAACCATCTCATTGCTATCGACAGTTGTATTTTTGGTGGTAGCGACACATTTTAATGGCTGGAAGCTGGACAGGCAATATGGCATTGTTCTAATGGTATGGTACTTGATCTTCATAATATTCGCTTCGTTGTATGAGCTGAACATCTTTGGGCAAATGAATCCTCCATCGTGCCCAAGTCAATATTAATTAAGATGATATTAGATTGGAAGAGAAAACATTGAGCAACTTTTAAAATTAACGCCACTTTGTTATAACATCGCGGAAGAAGCACTGTACATAATAAGTAAGGAGGCAAGCGAGTTGACGAATCTCTCAATTCTTGGAAGCATCGATTTGGAAAAATTTACAAAGGAAAACAAAAAGAAAACAATATGGAATACAATAGATAATAGGGACATTTGAATTCCTATGTTTAGACTAATGAAAATTTAGCACCAAAAGCAAATAATTGCGTTTAAAGACTTTCGAAGCCTGGAAATCCAAAGATTTAAATAAGTATGGATAAATCGTGTTTACCGAACTTGAATGAAAATAATAGATTAAAAAAAAAAATAAAAAAATAAAAAAATAATAAAAAAAAAGAAATGGCTGGGACCACAAGATAATTGCAAAAAAAAAAAAAACCAATACTGAATAAGAAAACAACTCATAAGGTAACGGCGCAGAAAAATGAGAAATGAGAAAGTTAAAGAGGGATGAAAAAGAAATGTCACTCGAAGGACAATAGATTAATCGTCAGTATTAAAAAGTACTTTGCTCTGTTTTTTCAGTATGCAGATTAATTCGACGTGAGGGCAAATTTATAAAATGCAAGATTCTCGATTATAAAATTTAATTGAAAGAATCAAGAAATAATAATTTGTAAACTTCAAGGATTTTTCATTTTATTATATATTGTATAATTTGAAAGATTTATCATAATGAAATATTAATACTTTAAGACGTGGAGTATTTTCTATTAATTTTATTTAGAATAAATTAAATAATTAAATTAAAATTAATGCATTCAATATGTGTTGAATAATAATTATACATTAGATATAATGAATAATGATATTGTTTAATGACTATATACGATGTATTGTTTAAAAATTTTTCATTAATATCATTATCGTTCTTTGGGAATTAACTTCAGCTGATTGCAAAGAATCTATTTGAAAGTTAATATGAAGCATTTTATCGTAATGAAATAACTATATAGTCAAAACTTAAATATTATTGAAAATATTTTAAAATTGAGTTGAGAAAAACATTCGTTTAGCATTAAAATGTTAATTCTTTTTATGCTTATTTGCACACTTTTATTAATTGTATTGAATTATTTAAATAATGGGATGAGAATATAATTCATTTTAAGTACGATTATTAAGTATAATGTATGAGCCTCGATTCGAAGCCTTATAGTCCTGAAAAACTGAAAGAAATTATTGTTACAGCATAATTTATGATTGAAAAATTGCAAATTGTCGGTGATTCAAAGTTACGTTAAAGTATTCCAAATGATTAATTCACTCGTTTGCAATGCGAAGTTTCTCAAATATGCTTCTGTGTATGTATGCACACCTGCGCGCGCCTGCGTAGGCGCGTGTGAAGGGAGGGTGAGCATGCAAATGTATGTATTATACTACAAATTAAAAAACGAGTAAGTACTTGTGTAAAGTTGTTTAATAAGAAATATATAGCAAATGTAAAATTTTAATGCATATTATGAAAAAGTTTCGTCATAAAATGTTAAACTGTTACTTTGCATTATAACAATAATTGTGCAAAGAGTATTAAAAAATAATTTTTTTCAGTGTGGCCATATAGCTTTTACACTCTGGCAATAAAGTTTGTCCAAAATGGCTTTTACGCTAAATGTTAATTGACGGCGATGTAGCGTAATACAAATATATATTGATAACATAAATGGAAAATTAAAATAATTTTCGTGCAAGGTGAAGTAGTTTAGCGCAGTTTATATATTTATAACAATTGTTAATCGTTTTACAAAAAAAATGAATACACGAGACTACTGGAATACGCGTCATCGCGTGCTTCATTTCATGTTAAATAACTATACTCTCATTTTCTAAAAAAAACTCATAGTAAAACTTATTCTCTCCCCCTAAAAAATTAACATAATTGATTTATCATAGAAAATTTCTAAAACAAAAATGATTATATTAGTAATAAATAGTTAATCTAAAAGTTATCTTTAAGCTGTAATGTACAATTTGGTATGTATAGTAATAATATATTAATATATAAATATTAATGCATTCTACCAAAATATAATTATACTTTCAATATTATCGTGAATGATTTAATTAAAATTCAAAAAAGCTACCCTACAAGCTTCAATAATTTTAAATTTAATGAAATAAATTGCAATATTAAATAATCATTTTTATTAAGAAAAATAATCGTTCTACTTCATATTTAGGTACAAATATAAAAGAAAACATCATTTTTATGCTGCACGAATGTCGCTTGCGTCTAGCAGTTGTCATTTAACTCCGTAACCGCTTAAAAAATTAAATCTCAAATTGTACATCTTATTTTGCGTGTGCAAGTGTGCGTGTGCGTGTGCGTGCGCGTGTAAGTATGCATTTTATATAGTTTCGATACATAATACTCATAATTTCATTCCCGAATGCTTTTAAATCTTGCGTCAATGCATTGTAGGACAATTAGACGGATATTTTATCGGAAATATTGTAGGACGTTTAAAAGAGAAATATCTCTAAAAAAATCATTCTCATAATACTTTCAAAAGAAAGGCGACGACATTTATTATATATATGCATTGAGCAAGCATGAAATTTTTTTTTTTTTTTGTTTTTTTTTTTGTTTATATATATATATATATATATATATATATATATATATATATATATAATAACTGTATACATGGTAAAAGACGATTTTGTTATAACAAAAGCTATAGTAGTAATAACAATTTGGAAAAATCTCACTAATTCGTTTTGTGAAAAATGAACACGTTTTTCTAATAAACAATTGTAAAAACAATTTTTACTACAATGATATAATGAAATAGAATTATAATTAGCTGATTATTCCTTATCAGTATAATAAAATCGATTTTTCGTGTATGAAGTTTTTTTTTTTTTTTTTGTGTGAATGTAAACTTTTTGCAAGTAACTAATTGCGAGATTTAAAATTTTTGCATAATCACAAAATAATTACCTATTATTTACCAATGTCTGTTTCAAGCCACTTAGAAAAATTATTTAAAAATCTCTAAAGTTTTTTTTTTGTTGAACATTTCAAATAATTTAAAAATATAGGTTTGCAGAATTAAGAGTAAAATTTTTGAAAACTAATAACATAAAAATGATATCTTTTGTGAATGATATAGGATTTTAAGAACATAACTACTCTATTAAATATTATACTTTGGAAGGACATTCACAAAAGGCGTAAACAGATGGTTATGATGTTAATTTAAAAATTATCAAGACAAATTTGAATATGAATATCACTGGCAACGACAAGTTACGAAAAAAAAACAAAAAAAAAACAAAAACTGAATAGATAAGTCGAAAGTCAAAAATGTTTATTTACATAATATTCGGAACGCAAATATTAAAGGTATACGAGAGGAAAGACAATAATTGACGCAGCCTTATCCGATGAAAGTATCTACAACATTTCTGCGCGTTCCTTGATATCTTCCATAACTAACTATATACAGAATGGTTCTTTTCCTCATTTATCGAATGCAAAAATTATAGTCTTTAAGAAAAAGGTAATAATGTAAGTTTATTTATTTTTTATAAAGCTATTTTGCTTAGAATTAGTACAAAGGTGATATCTTCGTTAAAATGCCTATAAAAACAAAACAAAAGCAAAACAAAAACAAAAAACAAAAACAAAAAAAGAAGAAGATATAAATTTTTCAATTCGTGTACATTCATTTATAGTTTTGCAATTATCTATAATCTATGTGACAGATCTCAATTTATCGAAAAATTCTATTGTTTGGACTCGATGATTTATTATTTTATCAAAATGAAATAAATTTGTCCTCTTTATGTTAAAGTGTATCTGAAAAGACTATCGACAACTATAATGTATAATATTTTTGGTTTTTGCATTTTAAATCGTAATACTGCTTTAGAAAAGTTTATGAAGCTGCAACTCTAGCGATCTTTAAAATATGTTTGTCTATAAATAATTCTGTACAATTAAATACAATTAACGTAATGATATTTTCATTTCGTTACGAATCATAAGATTAATTCAGGATAGCAGGGTTCTATAATAAACGATAGAACTTATATCTTATAAACTCGAATACAATTTATATGCAATATTGTTAAAAAGAAACATTTTAGAAAATTTACTTTATCGGAATAATGAAATAAGTAGCTTTTTTTTCTTTTTTTTTTTTTTTTTATTCGTACAATAATAATCTGTAATTTTTATAAAATCCTAGGAATGAATTTATTCACAAGGAGCGCGCAGTTATCCAAAATCAAGACATAATATAAAAAAATATTATATTATATTGCATTTAAATTTAGAGAGTAAATTAAGAAATTCGAAAGGAACGAATGAATTTTTTGCATAATAAATCAAAAGAAAGCCAGTATTCAATTAAGTAATTCTTTAACGAGCATCGATAATGAAAGTGAAACATTTATTATAGCTAAATTTAATAATTTTATTCGCTAATAAAACTTAAACGCGTATTCTCAACGAAATGATTAATATTTTTCCGGTTTTTTTCGTATTGCCGTGTCAACTCGAATATTATGGATTGATAGCGAGACACCGCTTTTACCGTTTTTGTTTTTATTATGTTTCATTTTTATGTTATGGATGCATAATTTTATAAATGGAAAAAGCTAGTCAATAATGATAAGTGATTAATAAACGAAATATAACAAAATATTCAAAGTTCGATCGACGAATCGCTTATTTTGCTTCCTCTCGGCCTACTACTATTTTATAATAGACGCGGCTATCTTAAATAATACATAATAAATATTAGAATATATGGTTTAAGATGAATATCGTAGAGATCGTTTATTTTTGGTTGAGCGTAGAAAGGAATTAACACTGTAGATAAAACTGGTAATTTCAATTATTTAGAAATATTGTCTAAGATTATCTTTTACGTAAACTTATGAATAAAATTATTTATTCTAGGCTGGATAATTACTAAAAATTAACACTTAATCACCATAATTTTTAAAGATACTGTATTAAATTTAAATAAACTATTTACAAAATATTAGGTAATTGAACACTTTTTAAAAAAAATTATTAGGTAGTATTATAACAACACATTAGTGAAAATACTCTTTAAAGAATATTAAAAATCTATTTATATGTATTAAGCAAAAATATTCTCAAGAAACTCAAAATAGTTTATATGAATTTTTAGTAAGTAACGTAAAGATAGCGATTATTTAAAAAGAATTATGAAAAATTTTCTACATTTTACTGCAAATTAACATTAATAACATAGCTTTTTCATATATCATAATTTAATATCATTTTCTGAATGCCTTTGGACAAGAGATTCAAAATTATTTTCAATAATCTTCAATCATACCATTATGCATTGATAATGTAATCAATTTCAATGAATAAAGCGTATTAACTTTATTTGATATAAAGCATTTATTTTTAATGATAAAATTAATGTTGCTTTGTTGGTAAATTACATAAGATTAGTATTAAAAATATACGGCGACTTTCAATGAATTTGAAATGCCATAACATAAATAGGTGCTATATTGTAAAACTTATAAATTAATGTCTATAATTATGAGGTTCGTCAATCGATCGATGCTAAGTTGTAACAAAATGACAAATGTAAACTCTAAATCGAACGAGGATGACGAAAAATATGGTGCTTCGGTAAAATTTATTATACGCTCAATAAAGGGTTAATAAACAATACATCAAAATCGCGTCTATTCCTGCCGATACGAAGAAAGTTTTGAAATCCGATTCTGACATGAGGATATTTAAGAAAGAATGCACTGAAATAAAACAAAACATGTCTTAAATGACCGTTGCTGAACTTTGCATAATTCTGATCTATATAGGTTAAATATATAAATATTGCACATTTATGTATTTAATGCTGTATGATGGATTGAAATGAAAATGAATTTCTATATTATAGATAGCGAAAGTGCAGTAACGTCCATAAAGTAACAAAAAATAAATACATAAATAAACAATGATAAATACTGTTAAATAAATAAATAAATAAATATATATATATATATATATATATATATGTATATATATATTTGTTATGTCTACCATTTTTTGTTCTTAATAGATTTGTCAGCATTATATAATATACATTCAGAGGAATTTAATTTAAGAAAATAAATTAAAAATAAGCATCAACGAAAACAGTCCTAATATCTACAGATATTAACAAATAAGAGATATAAATAATTTTTCATTGTTATATATTATATACACAAATAGAATACTTATATAGTAGCATAAATATTACATGCATACAAGTAAGATATTACTTAATTCTCTTCCACTGTCTTCTTCCATTTTTATTCATGATTGAGATGGAGAAATAAAGAAGTCACGATTTGAAAAATGAGAACTAACTGAATAAACACGAAAATAAAGAAGTCAATCTAAATGAGTGTTAATTATTACATGCTTAAGTGTATAATTAAATTATTATAAATAATTGACAAATGGACATTAAGGTCGATCAATTTGAAGGTGTCCTTAACATAAACGGTAGTACTTTAGCGATTGCAACACGTTATGCAAAGTCAATATTTACATTATCACGGAGTCCGAATGCCTATGATAGCATTTTATTTTATTTTAAGATATTTTTTCTTATTTTACAAATTTCGACAGGTTGTTCTAAAGAGTAATGTTGATCTTGTATATGATAATTCCTAAATAGTCAATTTTCAAATCGAAAAATCTTTTAGATAAGAAAAATAATTATATATATATATATATATATATATAAGATAAGACATTATATTGTAATAATATAATTATGTATCTCAATATAGCTTACCTTTCTCAATAATTATAATTTTTTTTTATCATTCATGCAAAATTTTTATACTATGTCAACTAAGAATAAACTTATTCTATAAATTACTTAAATTGTTAACAATCGGTTATTAACAAGTTTAATTTAAGATGAGTAAATATATCAATATCCGTATGATCATAAGGAATAATATTGGAGTTAAAAATTTTTTAGTTTTTAATTATGTAAATAAGTAAGATATAATTTAATACGGATTAAGTTTTAAATTACATTTATTTACAAACTTTGATAAAGTAAGGAATAGCAATATAAAATTTGTGCATAATGAAATAAATACAAAGATATTAGGTATTATTTAAAAATGTTTTTTTTTTTTTTATTAATTAATTTATATAATTTTATTTTTATTAATGTTTATTTAATTATGAGTGTTGTGGTTCCTATTATAATATTTTACGAAAAAGTATACAAGATTAGATTATGAGACTGGGAAAATATGGTAATAATGTAGTATAATGCATTTTTAGTGTTAAAAATGTGTGTTGATTGAATTTTTGATTTTGAATTGAAAGAGTACTTATAGCTATCTACATTACATATAATAAAAAATTAATTAATTTTTCCTAATGCGTCAATATTTCTCTAGTCGTAGTTTGAAAAACTTATGTACATAATTGTTGTAATGAACTAGATAACGAACATAAAACCTATGAAATAAAGCATACATGAATAATTACAACAGCGATAAAAACATGAGTAAAAAGTCGCACTACTTATTTATATTAATTATAAACTTACATAATTGCAAATATAGAAGAAAAAATAAATAAATAACAAAATTTTAAACGAAATATGAAGGTGTTGTTACGCATATTAAATATTACACATAGATGCATGTGTACACGTATATGTATATAAACCTGAGTACATTTATATACATATATATATATATATATATATATATATGCGCATGTGTGTGTGTGTGTGTGTGTGTGTGTGTGTGTGTGTGTGTGTGTGTGCATATAACATTTCGAATAAACGTATTGTTGATTTTTAAAATGGTAATTGAAATTTATTTTAAACAAATGTAAAAAGTAAAATAATAATATGGACATATAAGGTTGCAGTTGGATTAAAAAAAAATTATTTGGCATAGTGAATGTACCGTATTTAAAATTTAATCTATTTTAAACAAATTTCATTACCATTTTTGAAGAAAAAAAAAGAACTTTTACAAACACTATACCAAATTTTAAAGAATGGAGGCATGTTATAACTACATCGTTATACATATATATATATATATTAATTATGAGTGGGAAATTGATTTAATATTATTATATAATTGATAACTTACTGTAATAGCAATGAACGGAGAAAAACAAGACAGTATGTGTCATGTCATGTACTGCGATGTATCTAAACTGTTTAAAACAAATAAAATTATGAGAAAAATACGATGAACCTATTTATTCTGTCTTTTTTTTTTAATTTTAATTTTATATGTATTATATTGTAGCCATAACAAATTATTTTTATATTTAAATGTATTTTAAATTTATATCTAAATTTTAATTGAAATCTATAAAGTCTCATTAACTCATTAACTTTATTATATCATAATATTTAATTCTGAATTAAATTTTTCTTTAAAGATTTAATTTAGTATTTACTATTTTACGGAATCAATTGACTTTATTTAAAAAATTATTTAACATGTTTATTTTAAGTTTTTGCCCTCATATTTTTTACATCCAGAATATTTATAATATTATAAAAACCTCTATTTTTTTTAAAAAAATTTTTTGCAATGTTTTATCCTTATGTTTATTTTATTTAAATCTCCTATATGAAAAAAAAGGAAAAAAAGATTTTTAGTTTAATTGCAATAATTATAACTTTTTCTAGTCGTTTCGAGGTTGAAAATTTAAAAAATGTTAATTATGCATCAATTATTTTGATTCACTTGCATGTAACGCAAATACATAATATAATATTGTTCGATTAATCGATAATTAAAATTTGTAAATATTTAAAACGTCAAATTTATAAAAATCTGATCTATTAAGCTTTTGTAACATAAAAAATCGTTTCTTATAATTACATATTAGAGAAATTAATAAAATGATTTCGTCCTTAAAATTTGAGAATGTAAAAAACATATGATGTCATTATATTATAATTAATTTGTATAACAAATTAGAGTAATTTTCAAATTAAAAAATGATGGTTTTTAATCACAAAATGTATTTTTACCAATTTATATCTCCAGTAAAACTTTGTTTATTCATGTTGTTTTATGTTTATGTTTATGTTTATGTTTATATGCAGCAGTAAAGCTACTATGTAACGTGCTTGTAAAAACTTTTCGTTAAATATTTCAAATACTGTTAATACTATGGACAGTATCAAATGATGCAACAAGTTGAAGCCTTTTGTAAAAGAATTCTCGACTTAACACTAACAAAATGCTATAAACTCTATGTATTAACATTAACAGCAAAGATAAATGAACTGAGTGAAAAAAGCTTTCAATTCCTTGATAAACTTCATACAGTTTTAAATCTATTAATTTTATGAAGTTATTCATAATAATTTATCACTGTCTTGTATTTCGCTGTATTATATTTCGTTATATTATATTGTAGATTATTTATTTCTTCGATCAATGCAATTTCTTAATGAATTTATATATTATCAAGGAATGAGAATTTCATAAGAATAGATTTTTAAGTACTAGAACTATTTTCTACTCGTCACGAATTTATTATCTCTAATGGATTATATAATTTATGTATTTTATGTAAATAAAATATTTACAACAAGGTATATATATATATATATATTTGTTTATTTATTTATTTATTTATTCTAAACAATACTTCATATGTTTTGAAAAATATATAATTTAATTGTAAATTCACTGATTTCCTTCTTTCGAAATCACTACTATAATAAATTCATTGCCTTCTTCATCTCATTGACGATCTTTTTAAGAATATTAATTATAAAAAATATTTTATACATAAATATAAAATCATTGTATATTTTTAAATCAATAAAATATCTTCAATAACTATATTCAGGGATTACTTTTTAATTTAAATTAATTTGGATCAGTATATGTATATATCATTGCAATCGATTTCTAATTTGTATCAATTGACTAGTTACTATTTAATATTAAAATTTGCTTTGTAAATATGATCAATTAACTAAGTTTGTAATTAGGAAAGCATTTGAAGCTCCTAAATATATAGGTTATATTGCTTCGAAAACAAAGGCGCGATAAAAATAATTTAATAATTAAAATTTAAATTAATTTAAAAAAAAATTAAATTAATTAAATAAGCCGCAGTCGCAAAAACATGGCAAAATGCAAGCCAAGTCATTGCTGTCCGAGAATGTGCACTTGCACTCCTTTGGAAGACTTGGTCAAGCTCCATCAAGAACTGAAGTGCCTACGAAAGAGGGCGAAAAGCATAAAAATATCAAGCAATGTCGATAAAAACTGTATATTCGAGATGAGCGAAAGCGAAACCAAAGTCCTGGATAATAATGTGTCGCTCAGGTGCGAATCGATCCTCGAAATAATCCGAAAACAGCGCGATAGCATGCAGAAATTAAATATTGCATTGCACGAGTTCGACGACAAATTGTGTAGTCAAGAGAAGGAAATCTGCCAAGCGGATAATGAAGTAATATGTATTTCAAGTCCCAACATTTTTATATTCTCTTCAATAGTTCTCTACTCCTTAATATAAACTCCATCGATGTTAAATTCAACAATACAATCCAATAAATATTATACATTCATTCAATATTCAAAAGAATAATGCAAATCTTTCTGCGCAACAGTGCGTTGTTAGAAGTACAATTTTCGTGCAGAAATACTTATAGAAAATTGTAAAAATATTTTATAATATTGTTCCACGTAATTTAAATCTTAATTGTCATACATTTTTATATATTTAATTAGGAAGTATCATCATTAGAAAACGAGTTTATAAATGACTTTTTCAGTCATTATGAAAGCAATAAAATAAGTGCCAAATGTAGTATAATTTAAAAATGAGAATATATTTCCAAAAATTTTAAGTAATATAAATTTAATTAAAAAAAAAAAAAAAAAAAAAAAAAAAAAAAAATAGAATCATACAGCTCCAATAAATATATTGGACATTAAAATTTAAAATATTTTTTAATATAGCGTGAACGATGTATTAACATTATTTCAATAATACTCAATGAAATTATAAGACTTAAACAATATTTATTTGATGAAAAAAAAAAAAAACAATTATTCTTTTATAAGATATCAAAATATAATTTGACATTTAAATAATCATTAAAAGTATTATTACATTGTCTAAATAAATGTAAAGATAAAACAATAGGATAATGCATAAATTAATCAAATTAATCATTTTAACAACGAATTAAGAAAAATTGCATTTCTCATTCATTTATAAGATTGCAGATCTGAAGAATCAAATTTGTATTATCAAAAAGATGTCTTGTGGTAAGAAATGTAATACTGGATCGGATGAAAGTGAAAGAATAAACTATTTTGAAGATGCTTGGCAAGAATCTGTATCATTAGAATTGGAAAGACAAAATCAATTGCAAGTACGTAGATTAATTAATCTTCAATTAAAATTCATAAAATTACTTATTTAAATTATTTGTTGTCATGTTTATACGCAGTTAAAATTGAAAAAAATTACTGAATATTTTGAATTAAAAAACAAAGAAATAACATTGGATAAGAAAAGAAATGAACAAAAACTAAAGGATAACGAGTTACTCCAAAATGTGGTTGATTACATCGAAAATTGTATAAATCACTTTAAATCGATGAAGCAATAATAAAATTTAAATATATATATATAATATGTGTATTAACAATAAGTTATTAAATTCTCATTCATCAGATTTTAATTTAAAAAAAGTACATGAAATAATTTCAAGAAAAATATTGCAATAGAACAAAATAAATAATTATGAAGAAACTAAACTGTGGATATATAAATTTATATCTGTATCTATACGTATTATTTCCACTAATTTTCTTATTTGATTCGAAAGTCAGAAATTATGTGTTATTTTCCAATAAATAGTCCTAGTTTTAAATGATAAAGTCACAAAACATATTTTTAATCAAAATAAAATGCAGGAACGTTATAATTGAATTAACACATTAAACAAGAATGTAACCTGATAATATCTGTTCGTGATTAATCTTCGTGGCATAAGATAAGCATTGGTTCGCGAAAGATTAAATAAGGCTTTCCTGTCTTCAATTACAATGAATTACTTCTAGTGAAATGAAAGAGATATTCTGCTCATGACTCATTTTCTACCAAGTTTTTAGCAAGATATACATCCTTACTACTTTAAATTCATTAATGTAATGTAAGTGTTTCCGTTGAAATTATAAGTGAAGTGCGTAAATAAATATCCGCTATTAATTTAATTAATACAATGTATTTGTCTCTTATTATGAATAATTAGTTTAAAATATTAATTATAATTTTTAAAATTCACAATTAAATTTATATCAAAGTCGAATAAATTATTAAAGCTGACATTAAGAGCATTATTATTGGTTAATCCACGAAACAACATATTAAATTTAAATTTAATATATATTAGTAAAGAATAATAGAGCTATTTGTGGAAATACTGTATATATGATGGTAAATATTAAAAAAATTTTATCCATAACTAACATCAGTTAGACTTTACTGTTAATCAAGTAACGATTAGTAAGTCTTTATCTAATTATTAAGATAATTATTACAATAGAGAATATTATGTTTTAATATTTATAGTATAAAGTTGTTACAAATATTTTAAGTATTAACATTATACAAATTAAGAAAAAAATACATTTAATTAAATAATATTATTTTTAATAATAGGGTAAATAAAATAGAAATTTAATTGATTTAAAATATTATTTAAAAATATTTATTTGTAGTAAATAGATTATAAATAAGATAATATCGAACGGTCTTGAATTAATAAATTTCTTTTATCGAGAAGAAATACACAAAGGTGGCAGATATTTCTATAAATTTATTCGATTTTAAAATTCAAACTATTATCAAATTATCTATTTGAAAAGTAAAAACAATTAAGCATTAGTGAATTGATGTTAATGATGTTATTTATTATCAGTAAATGTATTCAAATATCAAAAATTTTCCATTTATACTGTATCATGGTAATAGTGGCGATGTACATCGTCAGCTTTCACTTGACCAACTTATTCTCACATTTTAAAGAGTCCATTGCAGATGTATAGATTATCTTGTCTTTACACTCGGTTTACGGGCAACTTCAACGATTGCTTTACTCGAGTATAAAATAAATAATTAAACAATCCTCCAAACTCACACATAATATAAATTAAGATTATCTTTCAAATTCTTTCCACGCATTACAAATAAAAATTTAATTTAATAAAAATTCATATAATTTTAATTACGTAATATTCAAGATAAGTTTTATATTTAAAAATATTGTAATTCTAATATAAATAATTTTAAACATTATTCTTGGTAATACTATTTTAAAATAAATGCAAAACATTTCATACGTACGTACGTGCATGCATTATATATACATATACATATATACATATACATATACTTATAGAAAGTCGGTAAAATGATTTATCATAGATTTAATCACTCCTAAATAGAACGATAAAGAGAAATAATGAATGATATAATGTTATTCTGAATCTTTAAAAATTTCTATGATGAGTGAGTGGTGATAATAACTGGAAATACGGAATTGGTGTCAAAAAATTTAACATTGGAATCATAATATTATCGTATGCCGAGTTAAAACTAAATTAATGTTACAGTTATATAGATATTATAATTAAGTCAATATGAAGAAGAGGGAGCATATTAAAATAGTACTTTTAGGAGACAAAATGACTGGAAAAACATCTTTAAGAAAACGTTATTTCTCAGGACACTTCAACGAAACGGAATTAGCAGTAAGCCTCTTTTACATATTAAATTTTTGAAAAATTCATTTAAAAATAAGATACATTCATGTATTTGTTACTTTTGTAGACTATCGGTGCAGGTTTCGATTCGAGAGTTTTTACTCTACAAGATAAAGAATATGAAATGGAAGTTTGGGATACATCTGGAGAAGAAAAGTATCTTATCTTATAACTTGTAAAATGATTTGTAAAACTAAATTAATCATTTACGAGCTATTATATATTTTCATTAGAATAATTAACAAAATTAATTTATTTCCGTTCAAATGACACTAACGTTTTTGAAAATCAATTCTACGATAGTAAATTTTACTGTAGTTAATAAAAACAGTATAACATTTCGATGTTTACGTGCATTACCTTTTTCATTATCATATTACGCGCTGTAAGAATATGCAAGTATTATTTCACATAAAAAAATTCAAATATATATATTTAGATTAATTATGAAAAAAAAAAAAAAAAAAAAAAAAAAAAAAAAAAAAAAAAAAAATTGAACTTACAATAAAATATAAAATTATTTAATTTTCCTTATGAAAATTTGCTAAATTGTTATTATTCTCTTTCATATCATTCGAGTAAAGCAAACGTGTATACATTTATGTATTTTATAAAAGGAGCGATTAAATGTTCTAAGTATATAAAAAAAAGATTATCAACAACTTATTCATTAATTATAAAATTTAATTGATAAATGAAATAAGAGTCTGAAATTATTATAATCATATTAATAGACATTTGCTTAAATCGTTAAAAGCAAGTCAGCTCATTTTAATAAAATCACATACTAACATATTTTTATTATGAATAATACCAGTTAATTTTATTTTAATATTTTTTCGGACTTTATAATAGCATAAAATAAAAAATACCAATAACTTCTCAAGTGAAATTAAAGTATTAGTAATTTTAATGATAAGCAAACGAATAGAATTACTAAAAGGTTATATGCAATTATAAAATAATTATTTTGGTTTTGCTTCGAAAATAGAAAAACTGTTTCACATAAACTTAAAACTTCTTTAACAGATATCAATCCATCTGCAGAATGTATTATCGAAATGCGGCTGTTGCCATATTATGCTACGACGTCACTATTTACAGCACATTTCAAAAACTTAATTATTGGATAGGTGAATTATACAAAATTCAAGAATCATGTAAAATTTATGTATGTGCAACGAAACTCGATTTGCTGGATCAATATGAAGCGAATCCGCAAATTAATTTTGTCGAAAGTTATGCCCGCGAAAATGGCGTTAAGTTCTTCTTGACATCCAGTAAAACTGGAGAAAATGTTGGTAAGCTATTCGCTAATATATTTTACGCACTGCAAATAATTTATGACATTTTTACCATTTTCATTTGAAAAATTATGCATTTTGCATTAAAGTATCTTGAATATCTTTGGTCCAAATAAAATCAATTAGTGATATAGTTATACAATGAAATATTATATAACATTTATTAATATAAACATTTTTAGCCGTTAAATTTAACTACACACACGCGCGCGTGCGCGTGTGTAGTTTAACCGTATTTTTGGTACAATCGTTAAATTTTATCGAATAATAATAATTAAACAATGGTATTTATTATGGTTACTATGGTTATATTAATAGATTAATTTCAAACTTTTATTATAAAAATAAGAAAATATAACTACAATCTTATTCTATTACATTTTTTTTTATCGTGTTTGTGCGTTTTAGTACAAAAATAATTTTTATATATTTATATATTCAATATAATTGAGTACAAATTAAAGTATACAAGTAAAATAACATTTTTTCTTTTATTTCTCACATTGAAATAATTAGAAATATTCAACGTAAAAGTATTTAAAGTAATTCATGTCAGTAATACAAGTCTATATACATTAAAAAAAATAAATATTTTTATCATAATTAATAAAAATACATTACAATTTAGATTAAAAAATCATAAGTTAAAAGATATAAATTATATGTTTCACTGATACAATAAGGAGCAGATCACATTTTGTAATAACTATAATTTAACGATCATTTTATTTACATAAGCAATTTAGTTCCTAAGTCTTAAAAAATCAGTCATTATTATAATTTATAAATGATTTGTAAAAAATTATTATCGTCTAGAATGTTTATTATTACAAATTATTATTAAGAACTCGTTTAAATTTTTTTATCGAGACTTTTTTTTTTTTTTTTTAATAATCATAAAGTGTAATTTAAAATTAAACTTCTTCATTTAGTTAGTTTATTCGATGAGATCTTGGATGACTACATTAGCAATTCACAAAATACACCGAGTTGTACCGATACAATAAAACTCCCCACCAACAAAAGACGCTGGATGAAACAGAATAAAAAATGCTGTTAAAATCATCGATTAATCTCTGCATAAATAATATACATTGTAAGATAATTTAATTCTTTTTATAGTTGTATTTTTACGTAAATAATAAAAAGCATAATTCTAGTGTAAATAATAATAATAATAATAATAATAATAGTAATGATTATTATTTTAAGGATATATTTCTTAATTGTCCGTTTCATTTAATAAGCTATCGATTCCCAAACTAAATCTAACGTTATTTTGGCTTGTTAATAAGTTTACATCTATTTTATTATGCTCTCTTTTTTTGTTAGACAATCTTACATCTAAAGGTATGTAAGTTTCATTTAAAATATCGAATTCATCAATTTCCTCATTTCTTTTAACATTTTTAAATACATTTTCATCAACCAAAAATACGTTGTTTTCTTCTTTTTGCATAATACTATCATTATTATTTTTAAGATTCGATGCATTTTTCTCATACTCAAAAGCAATGTTTTGTTGTCCGCTATTCCTACTACAAATGTTATTAATAATTATGGACATATCTATAGAATTATCAATGTCGCTCGCGAAATCCTCCGGAACTAATTGATTAAACATTGCTTCTAATGATCCATTTAAAATTGAATCTAATCGTTCAACGCTCATGACCTTATCAAACTGCGGTCCTCTTTTCATTATATTCGGGTCTTTCAAATTCTCACTTTTTTTATTACGTTTTGATCTAATATCTAGCTTTTCCATCGATTCATTTAAACTTAGTTTATTAATGGTAAAAAATTCTAGAATTTTCTTATTATTCACAATTTCGGCAGATTTTCTTTTGCCTCGTTTTTTTGTTTCCGTTTTCTTCTTTTCATCTGATTCTTTGACGTTATCTTTCACTTTTTTCTTACCATCGGATTTTTTTTTTTTTGCATTTATCAAAATATCAAATTCATGAACAATATTTGGATAACATTTTAAAGTTGCATCTTGAGGCTCGATCGTCACTAATTAAAATGTAATTTTTCATTATCAGTATTTCATTATTTTATAATATTATTAAAATTATTTATATTTTATTTTATAGTTTTCGCCAAATGTAATTATGATAAATAAATGATAATAATCAATTGCTATCGTACTTATATACATATGTTTAATGGTTCAATTTCTTATTAATTTAATCAATATTTTCATCGAGTAAATTAATAAAATAATTTTGTTATTTTATCATTACTACTATAGTTGTTATTATTGTCTCGTATATTTTTATTATTTACAATTGTCCTTAAAGAAAATGGAATTTATTAATAAATCCAATAAGATATTTATAGATATATAAGATAACAGAAAGAGTATTGAGAGAAGCTTGTACTATTTGAAAATGATTATGCGCTAGATATATTAAAAATGTAAGTAATAAAAATTGAACAAAAAAAAAAAAGTGATAGTTTAGTGTAATTAAATAATTTTGTATAAGAATATTTTTTTTATATATTCATGACAATATTTTGGTGAATTTATTATAAAAAATATTATATTTACCTAATTCAAAAATAGAATTAGAATCATCATTTTCTTCGTTTTTCCCTTCACCGTTTACATCTACTAAATTTAATTCTTTTAAAAGATTATCTTTGTCAAGCCATAAAATCTCATAACTAGCAATGCTACGAATGTTTCTTTTTTTTCTTATTTTTTCAGCAATAAAGATACCTGGTGCAGATATACGTTGCTCAAATGGTAATTTAATTAAATTCAACAATTGCCATCTTGTCATAAGAGGAAAAATTTTTGTGAATGCATAATTGGGCTCCCATAATCCTTTTCTCTCCATAAAATGCTATAATTTTGAATAGTTTTTTTGTAAATTATCATTAAAGTAAATTATTTAATTGTGCAAATGCTATTTTAGAGTTGTACGCTAAGCACTGTTTTTATTTTGATCTTAATTAATTATTTATCATTGTACAATAATAATATTTATTATAATTTTAAATAATTTTAATACGAGTTATAAAAATTGCATTTATTTTATACATGATTTATGTATAATACTTACAACAAATTCAACTATTTTAGGTTTTCTCCATTCTAAATTCAATGTCGAAGGTACTGCTCCTTTACGAATTAAAAATTCATTTATAAGTTCTTGGTTAGGAAAATTTTCAATTAATAATGCTTTCTTCCTTAATGCTAATTCGTTAGAAATCAAAATTCGCTTTTCTCTAAGAAGGAAATGTAACACTTTTTAAATATTAATGATCATATGTATATATATATATATATATATATATATATGTATATATTATTATTATTATTTAGAAAACAATTAACTTGTACAGACTTGTAACTATTGGAACATTTTGTAGAAGTTCCGCAATCAGCACAGCCAATTCTAACGTGAGACCTTACTTTTCCAAAATGTCCACAATTAGTGCATATATTTGGATTGGATAATTCATTTTCCAGTCTTGTAAATATCATATCAGTTCTCCATTGTTTCATCCTATAAAAAAATCATTTCTTTTAAATCAATAGCTCTTATTTAACGATGATTTAAATCATAAAGTACTACGAATTCCGTGTTCTATTAAAATTTTTTTAATCTATTCAATTTTAAAATTATTTTAAATTATAAAATAAAGAATAAATAAACATTTCTATCAAAAATAAATACCTATCAAGAATTTCATCGTCTTTGTACATTTTCAATAATTTTAATGCTGCTTCTTTTCCTACCCCATGTAATCCATCATCATAATCACATCCGCACAATAAAGCTAAAGCTATCATTTTATTTCTGCCAAGATTGAAAACTTGTTCAATTTTTTCCATGGAATATTCATCTATGGATCCAGCACTTGTCACTCTATTTCCTTGTGTAGTTGTGCAAAAGTTACGGTACACTTTTTTAGCCCCATACAGAAAGCAGTCACTATCTTGACTAATACAACCATCGACTAGCTAAATTTAAATAATGTATGATAATATAATTTTTTTAATTCTTCAAGATGGTATAAAATATTAGATTAATATAGCTTACTCCATCCTCGTTTAAATAGGCGCACATAGCCTCGGCTTCTCCGTAGCCTTTAATGCAAGCTATACCCATATAACGTAGCATCTCTTCGCATTCTTTTATTACATAATTAAAACGCGTTCTACCTGTTTTCTTTGTTATTTTTCTTTCTTCGCCTTCATGACGAATATCATTTCTTTTTGCAATAGTTTTATGTTTCAAAACTGGTGCTGTTCCTTCCAAAATAAAGACTGGAAAAATATTGTGAAGGAGAAGGTGCGAGGTACGAAAGAAAAGATTACTGTAACATATAAATAAATGTAAAATATATTTTCTACGCTAGATTTTATACTAAAACTTTAAATAATTAAGAAATCTATTACTTAAAAATATTCTGAAAAGTAAAATGAACTACAAATAGAGAGATAAATTTAAAACATTAACTTATTTTTAGTAAAAGTTGAATGTATTTCATTTGTAGCCTTATCGCTTTAGTTGTAGTAATTCTTAATACAAATACCAATTTGATACTTTGAAAAATTATAATAAGAAAAGATTATCAAATTCATATCGATTATACTCTAATAATTCAAGATATATCTTAATATTGTAATATATACTAAAAACAATATTTATTTTATTGCAATATGTTAAACAATGCAATTTAAACTGAAAATTAAATAATAAATAAAACATGGAATAGATTAGTATTAAATTTTTTATGTACATAAAAATTTAACTAACCGCAGATACATTTTTGGTTGAATTGCATTATCTGTAATAGTTTGACTATCGACGATCCAGCAACTCAAATCGATCGCTATTACTTTACCTTGTAATTCAAATAATGGTTTTCTATCGCTTATGGGTGATAAAATATTCCACAAATCTTTCACACCCATTTTGCAATAAGATAATTTTTCCTAAAAAAACAGGATACATAAATATCAAAAAACAATCTCATATTATCAATGCACATCACAATGCAATCAATAAGTTCATAATAAATTTATTACTACGAGTAATAAATATTACATTCGAATTGTTATTGCTTATTATCTAATGTGAACTCATATTTATATACCTATTTAAAAACAGCTGAATACAGTTAATAATTGAAGCAATGTATTAAAATTAATTCATTATCTTTTCTCGGTGCATTGGTATTAAAATTTAAAATACTTGATATAATCACAATTATTAAACGCAATGATCGAAGCATCATTAAAGTCTATAAAAACTAAGATTTACACTTGAGAGTCATTTATATTTGTTTGACAAATTAATGAAAATAAAAAGATGTTCTCCTTGGACGATAATCAAGGCAACCCATATAAACGCGTCTTCTCTGCAATTATCAACAATACTTTAAGAGTTTTCAAGTATCGTAAACAACCGCTGTGAAAAAGCAACCGATATTCCGCTGGTCATGAACGGCTCTCAGCGGCTGACAATTGACTTTCAAATTACCGGTCCCTATTGTCATACGCGCATATACGTCGTAACAATACGTCATGAGTAACAGTGTTACATGGCTACATGTGCTGTGCTGGTCAGTGCAGTGAATCAAATACAAATGAATGGTGCGAGATTATCGGTTCGTTAGGAATTCCTTTTTATTTTTGCTGAACTTGATTTATTGAAAAATGACGAATCCTCAAGATCAGCAACGTAATGTAAAAGTGGTTTTACTTGGACACCAAAATGTCGGCAAAACGAGCTTAATGAATCTCTATGTTCACAAGACATTCAAGCCAAATTATAGTTGTGTTGGTATTTCCATTGTTCCTACAGCTTCTTTAAATCTTTTGTTATTGTTTTGTAGATTTAACTACATAATTATTAAACTATATAAAATTTAACAAGTTGAGTTAATATTAATGGCATTTTATTGAAATAATAATAACAATTAGTAATAACTTGGTTATTACGAAATATTATATAAAATAGAGAATTTTTTATCTTATTTACTTTCAAGTTAATTGATCAAAAGCTTTAAACGACTTTTTTTTTATATTTCATTTAATAGTCCGTATATTATTCTATATAACATAGAAAATTAAAAATTCTTAGAATGTAAGATATGAAAGTTTTTTTTTTAATTAAATAATAGAGGTATAATTCTACATTTATAGACAATCGGTTCATCATTTTCTAGTAAAGTAGTATTAATCAGAGATCATATTATTAATTTTCATATTTGGGATACCGCAGGACTTGAGAGGTATGTTTTTATTTAGATTAAATTGTAATTGACCAATTATCAAAGAAAAAACTTATATTTTATCATTTTTTAAAGATATGATTCAATGACTACAACATATTATCGAAATGCAGCGGCTGCAATCGTTTGCTTCGATCTCACAGAACCAGAGACATTAGAAAAAGCTAAAGAGTGGGTAAATCGCGTAAGGAATTCGGAAGAAAATTGTATGATATATCTTTGTGGGACAAAGAGAGACATTCTACAAAATGACAACAGAATTTTGATGATAGCTGGGACTTACGCGGAAGAAGCCAACACAAAATTATTCCTAACATCATGCGTAACTAAAGAAAATATTGGTAAATACACATGTTAAATAAAACGTGTTTTATTAGTATTAGTGATTTTATGTTATTAAGTGTAAAGTTTGCATTAAAAAATGTGGAACAAGATATTACTATTGAATATGAAGATAATATTTAAGGGGCAAAACAATTACATATTTAAGATATCAATTATTACGGAAAACAATATTTAATGCTTCCAATTTTTAACTAAAGACTTATAATTATAAATATGTTACTATATTACAAAAGGAATATTTATTATTTATTCAATAATAACTATGGACAAAAAGAATATACCATTATACTCATTTTTATAATTTATTAAAGATGAATTTATAATATTAAGCATATTTCCTTTTTGTGTAGATAACCTGTTTGACACAATTGCCCAGGATTATTTATTATCACCAAATTCTACAAACAATAGAACTGAAGAATTTATTCGACTCACAAATAATAATCGAATATCTTCGCTCTGTTGCTTTTATTCTGCTTAAAAAGTGAATAGATGGTACATTTATTTTGTAAAATTTGTATAAACAACTAATTAAAACTTTAACTTTTGCATAAACTACAGGGTTGCTGTAAATCTATGCTTCCTTGCACTTTCAACATGTATAAATTATTAATATTTTTTAATATGCTCAAAACAATTATAGGAATCAAAAAATTAAAATGTTATTTAACTATTTTTACATGATGATTAAACCTCAAAATAAGCGTACTTTAAAGATGTTTATTATATTTTAAATTCAAAAAAAAAAAAAAAAAAAAAAAACGAAATACTTAAATTTTATACAATTGTACAAAAATTAAATTCAAAACAATTAAGTTGTAATTAATCTTAACAATATTTGACCATGTTGTATCATAATCTTGACAATTATGAAAATAATTTATAAATAGTCATTAATTCAACATTAAGGAAGCAAATTTATTTTTATTAGCTATAATATGGATTGGAACTTCGGTCATTCTTCGCATGCTTTGTATAATTCACAGTTTTGTATATATTCATACCTACAAAATGTACAAAATGAATGCGAATGTAGACATGTCAGGGTTATTTATTTCTAAATTACATCAGTTTTGTACTTAAGAATTGGATAAGCGTAAAGCTAAATATTAAATACTGGAGCTAGTTTATGCGCTTTGAAATATTATCTTTGGTATAACTTTAGTCTTATTATTGTGCGCAAATTGATATGAATTGAAAACGTTTGTAAGAAATTTAAATATATTGAGGCTTATAAGAGAAAACTGTGAAAACATTAATTATTATCTAATCTCTGAAAAATTAATTGTTTAATTAAGCTCCAAATTAAAATATTTTGTAATTAAAACTAATAACATTGTTTATTTCACCTTCACATCATTTAGTAGCCATAATTTATCACTTTGCGATCAAGTTTTGCTATTAAAGTATTGCGTGTCATTGTCTTCTGTCTATGTAAGCTAAGAGTCTGTATGGTTTAAAAGACAAAATTTGCATCACAGAATTCTCGAGTTTGTTCGTAAATACCGAAAAATACGAAACCACCCAATGTAAAACCGCAAACTCTTGGAGTAAAACCAGCAAATAATCTGTAAATAAATTCGCTACATAATTAGACAAATAACACCTATAAAAAGAATTGTTTAAAAATAAAAAGAGAAATTGTAAATACAGCTATACAGTTTGCTCTAATTATATTATTGAAATTCTATACGTGAATATTAATTTTACCATACAAATTCTCACTCTCTATCCATACTTTTTTTATATGCTAATAATAATGCTCTTACCCTCGAATTCCATTTTTTCTATAAACTTGTTTAAGCATTACTGATATTCGAACTTCCTTAGCATCGACCGATGTCGACGATAACATGATTCTCGTTTTGGCAACATCTAATGGAGTAGTTATTGCTGTAGATACTGCAACTGTAAGATGAATACAATATAAAATAAATGATTTAATGGTATCAGCATACAACGGCACGTATAATTGGATTTAATAGAAATGTGTCTTTTTGATATAGAATAAAAATTGTACGATGTCACTACAATAATGTAATTATAAAAATCTAGATTAGTTTAAATTCATTGCCATTATTTATATTCTCTACCTGAAATTGCTCCGCAAATAGCTCCTTCGATCGGCGTACATTCTCTAAACACTCTGTTTTTCCAGCAGAGTTTAAAATATTCCCATAATGGCATTTGCACTAATCCAAAGGGTAAATCTCGTAAAAGGGTACTACCATATCCACGAAAAAGTGTCCTTAATTTCAATGTTTCTGTATCATTGATCAATGCTTGCTTACGTTGCTTAATTACCTCGACTGGTACTCGGATTAAACATGCAATCTATGCATTAATATTTTCTACTATATTACATATATATTAAAACACGATGAGTAGTAAATTTTGGATTAAAGTCTATAATTAACATATTTCAGCGTGCAAAAGAATTTATTAATTAAAAGTATAGCTATTTTATTCACTGTAGAATTTTATGAAAAACTTTATCAATGTTAATATTATTATTATTATTGTTATTTAGCAGTAATCACTAGATTATGTAGAAATTAATAATTTCATTTCGTTTAAATCTTACCAATTCGCCGCACGAAGCAGCACCCATGTGAATTATTGAATGATATTGAATTGGAAGATAAGGCTGGAGTAAATGCTTGATTCCATCGTATGTTACAAAAAATAAGGAAGCTGCGCAAAAGAATTATTACTAATAAATATATTAAAGATATACTTAAGACGCAAGTGAAATTTGTGTAATGTGATTAGTACCAGCTGGTGCTGAACCTATCATAACAGGTGCAAATCCATGATACAATTTTTTAAATCCACCTGATTTGATAAATCCATGTTGACTTTGTAGTCTAGTTTTAAGAGTATCTAAAGGAAAAAATACCATATCGCAAACAACTCCAGCAGCAGCTCCAGACTAAATATGACAATAAGCATATTTAATTAAATTAACAGAAATATCATATAAAAATACATAAATATTTGTAAAAAATATTACTAACAATCAGAGATGTAAACAACACATTTTTTTTGTCTTTATTTTTCGTCTCCATATGAAGCATTGCAAGGACGACGTAAACTTGACGGAAGTCAAGTTGACTACAATTTCATCTAAAATTATTGAACTAACTAATCGAGTTGAATTTTCAGACATGTAGATACGAGAGTCTTATTCTAAGTATTATGTACAATATTTGTTCGCTGTTCGTGTAGCTATCCAAAAGTCTCCAAAGCAGGAAGGAAAATAACTTTTCAATTCTAACCTCAATTTCGCATAATTTAAATTATAGTTCACTCTAACTGTTCACAGTCAACGAATACAATAATACTGCAGTACTGCATAAATACATGTCAGCTGATGTATTCATAATTTTATGACTGCAGGCAAAGCAGAAGACAGTCTCTCTCTCTTTTTCTTTTGACCCAGCATTGGCGTCACCTACAGGATGATCACATGCTTAGATGTTGAAATAATTGAATTTTTATTATAAACGTCCTCGCGTCGTCAATAAAATTCACCGAATTACTTTCAGATAATCGAAATAATAAAATCAACGTACTTTTTATAATATGCAGAAAAATACCTTTTAATACCCTGTTGACGATTTAGATGGAAATTTTAAGGAAAGTAAATAGGGTAATTTTAAATGAAAAAAAAAAATAATTATTTCGAAGGAAAAATGAAATGTTGAGGCTTAATTAAATGTAATTTGTCATCTAAGGGGAATATTAAATTATGTTAAGCATAGCATTTTAAATACTGATTATAAAAAGACATTTCCTTAATAATATCAAATTGATTTATTTAATTAATATATACGTGCATAAGCTATTATATTAAAATACAAAATCTCTTGATTATTTAAAGTCTTCCATGATAAACTATACTTAGAGTTGAAATTTATTAATTTGTCTTGCAAAAATCGTGTAGCAATAATAGTAATGAAATATAAATTCGCGAGAAATATAAACCAACGAGAATTAATTTTTGTGTTGCGTAATTATAATGATTAGCCCAATGGCGTTATTAGTTATCAGTATAATATTGTAATTTATATGATTTGTAAAAATGATTTTTTTTATTTATAACATAAGTATAGTGTCTTGTTTATTTATAAACTTACGAACTAAAAGCTTATTATTTTGAATACGACGTTTTGCAATCTGCAATCAGGAAAGTAGCCAGCAATGTAAAGTGATACATAATACAAATGCCTATTATCAACCAATTTTACGAAGCTAATGAGCAGCCTAACGTGACAAGCGACCAATTTCGTAATTACAATTATTAATTCACTGGAAATCCAATGAATAAAGTCGTCGGTCCATATACAACGCGTATATAATTATCATACCAAATGCTAATTCTCACGTGGTATACATATGAATGACGTAAGCACAGGTGGTGCGTCGTCTGCTATGAGTAAACTCGTCAGTTCTCTGTCTCGCTCTATTGTTTTGTTTGCTGCTACGGAGTCGCGTAATAGCCAGCCGCACCTCCGAAAACGTCCACCTCGTCATGCATATTTAGGGAAAATTTCGCACGTTTCACCCCGCGCGACGTATCGCCTTGGTCGTGGAGTTTTTGCGACGTTGAAAACGTTGGCAAGAGGCATTCGCGCGCGTGCCCGACCGCAAAAGCCATATTTATACGACCGAGAAGGGAAGAAGCTCTGGAGGATGCTGAAAATAAATACGACGCATTAAGTTTGCAATTGGAGGAATGATAAATCGAAACGAATAGGGCATAAGACGACATAATGACAGTGATAGACAGGCTTGACGTTAATCGCAAACGTAAATTTATGACTCGGAGGCTTTTTGGCACTTTTACCTTCAAATGTACAATTATATAACCTTAAAAATAATTATCTCCAAATTATTTTATGATATTTACTCTGTTTGCCTACCACTTGGCATTTATTAAACAATGGCACCGAATATTCTTAAGAGCAGCCTCGAGAATGCGTCGTTCAACATTATTTTTCAGGTAGGCAACTGGTTTAATTTACATTGGCCAATAATTTCAATTTGTTGAATCAATTTGTTGTGAAAATGATCATGTTAATTTAAGATTTTCTTTTTATTATCTAAAATCCTATACTATTACTACTACTACTATCCTATAATAATTGAATTATAATAGATGATACATTATGCTGAAATATGTGTGAAATTGCATGAAAATTGGCATGACAATTTTTTATTTGCTTAAACCGTTTAAAATAAATTTGAATTAAAAATTTTATAATATAAGCATATTTTATTTGTACATCTAATGTAATTTCTATTCTTTAATATATTTTTCTCATTATAATTATTGTTTATTCGCTTTACACGAATAATGCAATGAATATTAAATATTATGCTTAGTTGCATAGTAATGGTAAAGTGTACTTTTCTAAAAAAAGTGTCGTAAGATAAAAATCTCCATTAATTAATTTCATTATTATTATTATTTATTTATTGTTTTATTCTATTTAGATAATATGTCGATGCGTGACATTTTTTTTAAATGCTTTTGTGGTTCGACATGTTGGACAAGCCATCCTTGGGGTAATGAACGTTCGTCTATTACTATTGGAGTCAATGATTTTGTTTTTATCGAGAGAACCATTTATGAAAGCCTGTCTCACCAATACTGCTGAACATAACTGGGCTCAGGTCATCAACTTACTCTGGATAACGTTAGTATTAAGAAAATACTTTAATTTGGTTTAATTTAATTCGATTTAGTCATTATTTATACAAAAGAAACTAAATAATGTATTTTCAAATTTAATACTCGATATATTGATTTTACTTGTTCAAAATATTTTTCAAATATTTATATTATTTCATCTTTTACAAATGAAATAAAACACTTGTTTTACTTACTTGATATTACTTCAATATTTTTCACCACAAGTTATTTTACATTCTTAGAGTTCCCATTTGTGTTGCCATGTCTCTGATATTTGGATATATTTGGCTATTCGTTCTACAAACATCCGAAGCCTTACCACCCTTTTATACTTTTGCTGTATACGCGGTTGCAATTTCATGTATAATAGAGCTGTCATCGCTGGTAGTTCAACTTATCGCCAGTGCTTTCTTATTTGTTAGACTCAGGGTAAAATATACTTTCATTTTTATATATGAACATTTGCTCACCTTTTGCTCAAAATTACACGTTGAATGTTGAATGATATAATAATTATTATTCTGACAACTAATTTGTAATTTGTAATTATCTACGATGATTTGTAACATAAATCACTTGTGGTAATGAATATTATGTTGACACGTATTTTTACAAATTCAGTCTAAAATCAATATTTAAAAGGTAAGGTAAATTTAGATAATATTATTGTTATTATATTTCCAAATAATGTTAAGATATCTGATTCTTTGTTTGAAAATGTGAAAAGCTGTCTATAAGCAATGGTGAAATGTTCGTTTCAGTTATTTGTTAAATTCATTTTAATCTTCTAGATTGTAAATTGTAAATTATTGTATAATTTCAGATTGTTTTAGATACTATTATGATCGCACTAAGAACTACAACATTTGTATTTTTAATCATTTATAATCCAGAAAATGCACTTTTTGCTTTTGGAGTAGCACAATTAATAGCGAGTCTGTTTTGTACGGCGAGTCATTATATTTACTTCCATTATTATATTAAAAAAGTGAAGAGGCACAAATTAAAGAGACGATTATCGGTAAGCGATGATGGAATAGAAGAATATGTTGAATCAGAGTTCCCCTTTATGTCGATTAAAGATTTTTTGCCTTGTCAGCTTGAAAATCATGTAAGCATATATTCATATAATATATAAATATACATGATAAATTTATTTATTAGTGAAATTTTAAAATAATTCAAAATCATTTTTGCAATAATAGGATACACCTTTGAATAAAAATTTATCAATTCTTACATGGAGTTTTTTCAAGCAGGGAATTCTGAAGCAGGTTCTGACAGAAGGTGAAAGACTAATCATGACAATATTACCAGTATTATCGTTCTCAGAACAGGTAATTTTTGGTTAATGAAGGTAACGACTGTTTTTTGTAAAAATTTGTAAAATCTTTAACTATGCAAAACTATATCTTATCACAAACTTCAAGCACTACGATATATATATATATATATATGTTTTTTGTTTTTGTTTGAAATTGTAATTTTATTCAGTGAAAATATATATACATATGTTAAAGTATAACAATTTTAGGGTGTGTACGAAATAGTAAACAATTTGGGTTCACTGGCTGCTAGATTCATCTTCCGACCAATCGAGGAAAGTGGATACTTTTATTTTACACAAATGGTGCAACGCGATAAACCAATATCTCATCAACCGCAAGCTAAAATACAGGAAAGCGCTAATGTTCTAAAATATTTATGCTGTGTAGTAACATCTATTGGATTAATAGTTTTGATCTTTGGACAATCTTATTCGTCTCTGCTCTTATGGCTTTATGGCGGAGAAAAATTAGTGTCTCCACTTCCTATACTTCTGCTCAGAGCCCATTGTTTAGCTATTCTTTTGCTGGGTGTCAATGGAGTTACGGAATGTTATACCAACGCTACAGCAGACAGTGCAACAATCAACAAAAACAATTTTATCATGATCTATGAATCAATAGCATTCCTTGGTGCATCTTATATTTTTGCTATTTGGTTTGGCCCGGTTGGATTTATATTCGGTAATTGTGTCAACATGGCTCTGAGAATAGCTCACTCAACAATATTTATTAATAAACGATATACAGAGACAAATTATCAGCCTCTTTTGGGTTTGATTCCAAAATCATTTTTTAGTAGCAGCTTAATCATTGCTGCATTAGTCACTGCATGTTCTCACGTAAGTTACATCGATAAAATTGGAATTTTTACATTTAGTGTGCGATGTTTAAGACCCACGTTAAAAGATCCATTCTACTTTCTACATTAATTAATAAATTGTAAGAAATTTACAAAAATTTGCCTTTTATATATGTAATGTTTCATACAATTTTATATGTGTAGAAAACTGGCTTTAAACATATCGAGAAATGCGTAGATTAAGCTATTGTTCAAATAATAACAATAATAATAATTTTTTTTATAATTGCATATATATTATCATAATTAAAAATAATTTTTTTCTTTTGTAAATTTACGTAATATTAAAATGAACTTAAATGCAAATAATTTTATTATAATGAAAAATTTCTTTTTATTGAATACTTATAATTGCAATACAAATTACAATTTTGATTACAGGCCTATTATTTTCCAAATAACAAATGTTTACATCTATTTATTGGTGTTATAATGCTCAGTACGGTACTATTTTCATGGATCTATGAAAATTATGATTTATTGAAACTTGGTGTGAGCAAGTTGTTAGAAAGACGTAGTAGTAGTAGGAGCGTAAAAATTGAATGACGTTTTTAAGAAAATCTATCTTGCTTGCACTGGAATGTTTATTGTTATTAAAAATGTTATCAAAATAGTACAAAATCAAATAATTGTATATTTATTCTCATACGTAATAAAAAGCTTTATTTTTTAAAAAAATATATATATTTATTTTTTATATACATACCTTATGTGTTTGTACTTGGTAAGAGGTAACATTTAATTGCAGAGTTTTCAAATTACTTAAATTTATGCCAAGTAGCCTTTATCAATATTAAATTTTTTTTTGCAATTCCTTTTATATTTCGGATATAGAATAATATTTATATGTCAAGTTTAAAAAATTAATATTCTATGAAAAGTAATGTATTCGGTAACAATAAAAACGTTATTGATATGTTTATTCGTATATTTCTATAAATTTAATTATTTAGATTTTAAATTACTTTGATTAATTTTAAATTAATTTAAGAGCCAATTTATGTAAAAAGTGTCTGACGACCTGGACGATACTTTTCAATTTCAAATATAGTGAATTAATGTTATATATTGAACACTAAATAATATATTAAACTCGAACATTGATATTTTACAATTAATTTTACTATACGATAAAATATAAATTAATATAATTAATATTATTATTATAGCTATATAAATCCCGGTTATCTCTATAAAATTTTCATATTAATATAAATTTGTATTTATAGTTATAATTTTGACAATTTTAATACATATAATAAATCATATTTTGTATAAATAGTTATAAATAGTCGAATTTATGAAATGATAATATTAACTGAAAAAATACTTATTTATAACTAATTACTTAATTCCTATTATTAATATATATTACTAATTTATATTAGTTATAAATAGTTATTCCTACTAATTAATTAGTTCCTATGAAAATACATTTAAATAACTTAATTCAATATTGTTGGAATTTTAACGTTTTATTTTATGGCTCGAACTGCCATTACAATAGTTCAGCGGATTAATCTCTCGTTATCTCTAGTTATCTCTAGTTATCCTCGTGAACTTGTATCTGCTGATGGCGATGTCAGTGGATTTCGGATAACTGCGTCTGACATTTCTTTCTTTCCTTTGAGATCGGCACCAGCGTTCTTGATGCCTTTTGACGATTGTATTATCTCTTCGGTTGAGGTTAGCGATGACCTACAGTTGTTTGGGTTGGATTCGTGTACTGTTCGTCATGTAGTGGTGTATGATGCCGCCCATAGCATCTGTTGCAGTTTCTGGGGGTGGTGCACTTGTAAGTGGTAAGAGGCAGGCGCAACTAGTTATATAATAATTGTTGCTCCTCCTTGAAACATTTTCTCTCCGTAACTGACAATTGCTTAGATTTTGGGCTTGCAGTCACAGAATGCTGTTGTTGGCAATGCATGCATATGGCGATCCATTGGCGTCCTCGTTGACCTTGGGAATTCATGCTGTGTTTTGGGCTGGAAGTAATTGCTCTCTTGGGCTTAGGCTCGTGAATTTGACTCGACCGTTTTTCATTATAATTAATTAATTAATTAACCTTTGTCATGATTAAGGTCTTGTCAATGGAATTTTCTTTGCATTCGAGTAAGTTTTTATCCTCATCTGGGCAAACGTTTCTGACTGCCAGGTTTCTAATTTCAGTATCAATATTGTCATTTATTATTTCTGTTTTGATTGTATATAGGACCCGTTGTTAGATGCTTTCTGTGTTCAATATTCTCTTTAGATCATGAGTCTGGAGTGTCAGCTTTCTGCATCTGTATCAAGTGTCCTCAACACTTTTTTCATGAAACTTGTTAATAAATGAACATGAGTCGAAAAGTTCTTCTACTGTGACGTTGGGCCCCGGTGTGTCATATTGTTCAGCGAGGGTCTGTAATAGATCGATGCACTTAAAATGTGTTTTTATTTTTATTTAAAATTCATTGTTTATTTGTGGTGATGTGGCGCTGCGAAGAGTTCTAGCTCTCGCTGATTTGGTGGCCTTTGGTGTTTGGTGCCCTTGACATCCATTATCCATTGTAACCCCAAGTGTCATGCTAATGTATTGTTTTTCTCTGTATCTGGCAGAGCCGATGTTTGAATGTGCGTGATTAGCCGCCGCTGTGCATGGTGGTCCCGCTGCAGTCGTAGATGCGTGAGAGCTGCCTCTGTCGTATCGAAGCTTTTTTTTTTTTTCTTTTTTTTTTTTTTTTTTTTGGCCCTTTTTTTTTTTTTTTTTTTTTTTTTTTTTGCTACCTTAATCGTCAGTGTGATCCGTTAATATATGTAGTATGATTTTGATATTTTGACTCTCGATTTATGTTAGCACTAGCGCATTATTAATTTTAATTATAGTTAACGGATTATGATAATGTGGTGTCACTACTCGCTTGATTATGAATCTGCTATCTGGCGATGAGATAATCCGGCTCAAAGGACTAAATGTTCGAATTTTAACGTTTTATTTTATGGCTCGAACTGCCATTTCAATAGTTCAGTGGATTAATCACTCGCCATAGCGATTAGGAAGAAAGAAGGCACAAATGGAAGGGATGAAAAGTATAATGTAATATATTTGAGTTCGATTATTAGTTTCTTTTGCTTATGAAATAATAATATTGTAGCGTTGTTGGTTACTTCTATTGAGATAGAGAATTATTATTCTATTATAGCAGTGTGAGTTCTTTCTTGTGTTTTTGATTATCTGAGATTTTAATTGCAGTTCGTGCTAGCGCAAGTGACACTGATGTGAGATGCACTAATTAAGAATAATACTAAGTATAGAATTACAATGAGCACTAAACTGAATTTATCGTAGAAAAATACTGTGGGCCAGATGTGTAGTGACTGACTAGATGTTAAAACGTATAGTGAGCGATGACTGTAGAGAGAAGCTTGAAGATCGAATAGTGCGCGCGTTATAATGACTGCGTAATTGTTACTAGACTACAGCCCTTAAATATTATCGCGCTAATTCTTAAACGCCGATGTTTTGTTGCTATGACGATATTTGTCGTGACGTCAATATGGCATAACCTGGAAGGTTCGTTGGCTATAGTTTATTAAAAACTGAATCGCGCGCTCATACCTCTCCCACTTTTGTATTCCGCTTTTCAACTGTTTCAATCCGTCATAAATATTATTAATCATTTCAATGACAATTCCACAGCAACAGAATTATATATTCGTATATTAATATTAAGATAAGAAAAAAATTACTATATAATAATAAATTTGTAAATATTATATAACTAATAATAATCGTTGAACAATAAAGTTATAAAGATTGTACATAAAAAAAAAATGGTATTTTTTAATCTAAATAAAATTAAAATTCATCACAAAGTTAATCAATTTTTCACACGCGCACGCACAAGCGCACACAAAAATACATTACATACGAATATACCACATTAACAAGCTGTAGAAATCCTCTAATATCGTATTCTACATTATAGAAAGTCACATCACTTATTTTATTACGCTATTGATGCTACGTGAATATTCTTACGGTTATTTAATTAATTAAACAAGAACAAATTGTGGAGATGAAGTTATGGCGTTGAAATTCTCAGTCTTAAGAAAGTCGGATATCTGTACAATAGTCTTTAGTTAAGTATTATTTATTCTATTGTATTTCTTTAGGACAATTTAGTACGTTTGGCTTGTAATAAATATAAAAAGTTGATATGTAAGTTTCACGAAGGTTAAGAGTATGATAGGTGTAACGCTGTAAGATTCGTGTCAAACCTGTTATTATTTGTAATAAGGGTTGTAATAGAATAACGGTTTTGTCACAGAATAATTTCTCTCACATTTAACTTTCATTTACCCATAAATTATTACTTTGGAAAAGTATCATGAACAGAGAATGCAATGTATAAAAAGTACAACGTAATTACATAGCTTACATATCATCAGCATTTGTAATATGCGAGGGACACAAATCGATGAGCCAAGCTCCATAAATAGTACTACCAGATCAATCTAACGCTGAATTCTTCAAGTGTCTCATTGCCAGAATTGTCCGTAAAATTGTAATATCGCTTAAGTTCACTTAGATATCGGTACGTAACGTAACGTAGAAAGAAAAAATAGTATTGATGAATAGAAGTTTTTTTTATTTATTTATTTTTTTTTTTTATTTTTTTTTAATTTTATTTTATTTTTTTTGATCTTGCTTGTATTTAATTAAAACGAAAAAAATAAGAATTTCAGATTTGATAAGTTACTTGACAAATGATGCTACCCTTACATTTCACTGTATTGGCCATGACGGGAGTTTGGTGTCCACCAAAGTGGCTGGCAACGAGAAAACGGATTTTTTATAAATTCTATTCATCGATAATACTTATATTATCAGAATTTTTAATATTGACACAAGTAGCTCGAATATTATTCGAGAGACAAAAATTCGCAGATTTCAATCAAATATTTTATATAGTATTATCTACTAATCTTGCTACCATCAAAGCTATATTCAATTTGTTGATTCAAGAACGAATCCTTAAATTGATTAATATGTTTACAGAATATTATTGTATTGCTCAGAACAGCATTGAAACAGACATTAGAAAGAAATGTGACAAGTACTGCAGGTTAGAGAATTTAATTCAATTACTTGTTGAATTAACCTATTCGAAAAATGAATTACATAAAAAAATTTTATACCATCATAAAAAGTCAACTCGTTGAATATATTTCATTTGAATAATTGTGAGTACTTGGGCCGAGTTGTTAAATGCTAATCTACAAAGAATAGAATCAAGTATTATATTTTAATACTTCAAAATTATGCGTAAAATTGACAATTCGTAAATGACTATAAATATTGCCTAAGATTTTTTCATATAATTCTCAAATTTAAATTCAATTGCTAAACAATAAATAATCGCAATTCTTGCATGAAATATAAATAAATATAGGATATCCATACATAATATGCGCATAAAATTAATGAAGAGTAGAAGGACAGAAGTTTTCATTGAATTTGGAAAATATCGATTCAATAACTATCGAAAATGTACTCTTGTACTTGTAAATACTGAATTGACAATACATAAATAAAGCCGTAATATCTGTTGGAGAAAGGATAATTTTACAAATGATTTTGCATCGATCGAAAATAGATTATTAAATATCGATGTTATAATATGCGTTAAGAATGTAAAATTATTTTAATTATTTTAATAATACGTATCCATTAGGATTGCAAAAAATTACTGAACAATTTTAAGCAGCGCTTATTCCTCTATTTAATCAAATACAATTAAGAATAATTCTCATATAATCATCAATTATTATTTCCCTTTGCACATTAAAATTTCTACGATATTATTCATTCGCGTCTAATTTTTCCAATCCAATTTTTAATGCCTTTAATGTCTCTAAGTAATAATATAGCTTAAGCGGTTTATTTCAGAATACTCGAATTAAGTATTTTATTGGCAATGAATGGAACCACTGCATGTATAGTTATTATAAATCTTTCCGGATTTATATCGGACACTAAGAGTCTCATTTACGAAGTTTTAGTACCTTACAATATTTCCAAACCAGTACTGTTTTGGATGACTTTTATCCACCATAGCTTTCAGTCTTTCATCCTAACATCCATAAGCATTACCATAGATATTTTGATCGCCAGTTTTATGCTTCAACTTTGTGCGCAACTGCAACTTCTCGAGTATAGAATTAAAGCATTACCCTCGTGGGTGAGCAAAGCCCAAAGTAATTATGTATCTAACGAAAACATTCGAAAAATGCAAGCGCTGTATATGGCAGAGAATATAAAGCATCATGTTCATATTTTGAGGTGAGTCTACAAAAAGCCTGAATTATATTTGAAAAATAAATTCTGTTATTCTCGCGGTTAAGCATGGCACTTTAGAATTTCATTGAAATGATAATGAAAGTTTCTTTGTCGAAAATCTGTCCCTCCCTCTACGTTCAAAAATCGTACAAAAATCCAATGTCTACCAACAGCTCAGAGTGCAATATATTTTCAATGTTCAATTGTTCTTACAGTGAATTACAACAAAAGTAATACATGTTATTCCTTGTCTCACTGTCAAAACCTGATCCCTATTAAAAACCTGATGCATATGATCTGTCTGCAGAGTTGACGGTAGCCAACGAAAAGTTGCAAAGAGCAAAGGGACATAGGGGAACATTTGTTTTAGGGGAGGCTCACGATTAAGATTCTATAAATTAATTAATATTCCTTCTCAATAAAATAGAAATATGTACTGAATACCAAAGTACTGTCGTTGTTTTGAGTTTCTTAGAGTCAATAAGTGTTTCTCGCACCTGCACTATATCCTTTATCCTAGCTCCACAATTTCTCAATTCTGGCCTCATCTCTATGACTCACTGTGTCTTTTTAAAAATCTATATGCCACATTTGACATTCTTCGTTCTCTTCCGTTGTCACTTGCCATTCCCAATTCTCTTTAACCTTTACTATCCTACAACTACGTCGAGCAGACACGATGACAAATATTTTTAATTAAAACTGGCTGGCAGACTTCTTTCATCCCTGAATCAGCATCCATTGCTTCCGTTCAACAATTTTACAAACAATATTTTATAACGCATGTCCTGTGAAGAATACACATACGCCTCATTATAAAATACAGCGTATTATATAAAATTAAATTGATTGTCCTTGCGGCTGCTTATCGTCTTAATTGTCGTGTACCTGTTTGTTTCTATATAAATTATAAAATTCATTTTAGAATAATTACCTAAATAGATAATAGAATTATAAGACTAATAGAATAATCTACAATTTTCAATCTATTTATTTCATTATAAATTTTATTTTTGTAAAAATACAGAATATCAGAAAAAATATGCTCAACATTTAAAGAAATGGTTATTGCTCAATATATTACTAGTGCATTATCAATTTCCGTATGCATTTATCAAATATCAACGGAGAAGGAGAGTCAAATGCAATTATTAATCTACTGTATTTATTTATGTTGTATGATGACTCAACTTTTCATTTATTGTTATTTCGGCAATGAAGTGACAATACAGGTTCGTAGTATAAGAATAAATAAAAGATGAAAGGAAGCATCAAAAAGCATCGAATATAATATAGAAATATTTCTATGTTTTCTCAGAGTCAAAGTTTGAGAACCTCGATTTTTCATATTGACTGGTCACTACTATCGTTAGAAGTAAAAAAGGAATTATTAATTATTTTTATTCGCACGTCTGTACCTATTGAAATGTTCAAAGGAGTATTTATGACTCTAACACTAGAATCCTTTATAAATGTGAATCGAATTCTATTTATAAGATTATTTTGTTTCCTTGCTAGGATAATATTCATTTCATGATTTTTGTTTTAGATTTTAAAAAAATCATATTCTGTTTTTACCGTTCTCAAACAAACGGTGTAATATAGTATAATATATAGCCAATATATTAACATGAAAATAAATCATCAAATTATTCAATAGAGTAGAAGAAAAATGATTTGCACACGATGATGCACATTTGACTTTACAAAAGTTTAATATATATATATATATATAAATTAGAATTTATTAGAACTAAAATTTTATCTATTAGATTAATAAAAACTAATTTAATAATGGTTATTTCATTTATTATCATGCTATTTTCAAAATACAATAACCCAATTGCTTTTAAATATACAAATTATAATACGATAAAAATTGTTTAATGTTAAAAAAATGCAAATTTTATACATTTGTCATTAAAATCGAATTATAAATAAACAATATTGTAGTATTTTCTTATAATATGGATTGTTAATAAAGATATTATGTTTTCATAACTTATAACTCCAACATTTATTTGTGTACAACATTTATTATGTTTATCTAAACGTAATTTCTCTACTTTCAATATGATGAACTTTGCAAATGGAAATCATTTACCATAATCAAGTAAATCTTTAATATGCGTAATTTATATTCAATCATCAGCTTAAATAACGACTGTATTATCGATGCCGACAACATTAGACAACTATTAAAAATGTCAACTGTTTTAGAGCCAAGAATTAGAAAGATCCATATTTAAATATAATTCGACTTTGTATCACATAGAATCTGTCAAAAGCCTTTTGTTAATATCAATTCGTTCGACAAAACCAATCGTCATATACTGTGGATGTTGCATAACATTTACCTTAGATACTTTCAGCAAGGTTGGTATTTTTTTATTTTTTTTTTTTAATTTATTTAAATATTTGATAAGATTATTTTTCATTTTCAAATCATATATGAATTATGAATTATTCAGATTCTAAAGGTTTCTTATACAGCCTTCAATGTACTCAGAGATTCAGCGTGAACTTCAAAATTATTTTGAGGGCTTTGATAACGCGCATATATAATTAATTTCTTAACATTCAATTATATTTTTAATACAATCAGTATTTCGCAGTTCGCTTATATATTTTATAATACATATTTATATAATTATTAAGTAAATATAATAGATTTATATATATATATATATATATGATCTACGAAAATTATTGTTAATTAAATATTGCTGTATCACATAATATCGATTAATATAATTGTTAAATAAAAATAATCACGTCCAAGTCAAATAGAATATTGTAACATAAATATAACATACGCAATAAGCAATAAAATGTAAGTTTAAAAGATTATGCGTTATTATTAATATTATTAAAAGACAATGTGAAATTTTATTTAAGAATAGAATGGAAGTAGGAGTGGTAGCTCGAAATTTCATAAGTATTATGTTGAAATGAAAATTAACTCCCTATAAAAATTAAGAAATTGTTTTTGTAGAAATTGTTTAAATAATTCTTAATATTTTTTATTTGTTAATAATCATTAATAATCATAATGTCTAATAGTTAAGTATTTTACGAAATGTATATATATATATATATATATATATATATATATGTAATACATTCGAAACATTTATGAAAAAAAGGTTTTTGTCGATTCACCAAGTTTTAGTGTTAAAGAATAAACCGAAAAGACTCTTAGAATTGAATATTGATCGAAACGTTTTAATTATTACCTTAGATATGCTGAAAAACTAAATGAAGTTTTGTTCCCAATAATTCTCACGCAGTTTACAACAAGTTTTTCGATATTGTGCGTGACTGGTTATTTACTAATCAAGTCATCCATATTAGAAACTCTTCGTTTCATTAGTTATGTAATAGCTATGTTGGTTGAAATTTTCATTTATAATTGGTATGCCAATGAAGTTTCAACGAAGGTTCAATCTTACTTTAAATAAAATTTATATACATAATTGCAGAGGATTTAAGTATATAAATAAAATATGAATAAATTTATTTTTCAGAGTCTGGATTTTAATTTATGTATTTCTGAAATAAATTGGACTGCCATGCATGTTCAAAGTATGAAAGAAATAACAATTATGATGATTCGCTCGACATCGCCAATAGTTTTTTCATGCGGTTCATTAATTCAATTATCTTTGACGAGTTTCATGAAAGTAATTTGAGTTTTAATTTAAATTTTATGTATTTTAACTTAACATTAATAGACTTATACTTTTATAGATATTAAAAATATCATACTCAGCTATTAATCTTCTTATATCATCATGAATTCTTTCAAAATGTTCTTATGAAGCATTGACAATTAATACTATTATGTACGATCAAAATACCTAAGGTGCGGATAGATGCTGCACGTTAACAAAAAAAATTTCTATATGAGTATTGACTATAAATAGTAAATATGCATTGCATATAAATGGTTGGAAATAATTTATTAAATTTGAAATTTTATAAAATTTTAATTATTTCAATCTCCAATTATTTAATCTTCAATGATGTATTTGAGTTTAGTTTAAAATAATTGACCACAATTTAACAAAACAAGCATGAAATCAACCATTAACAATTTAAAAAAATTAATTCAGAATACATGCGAGATGGTACTACATCATTAATAATAATTACATACTTGTCTATTAATGTTATTTAATCGCATTTATTCGCATTATTTATGAAAATATAAATTTATTTGTTCAATTTGTGAGATGCATATAATTAAATGATACTTAATAAAATTTTCTCTCATTTTCTATATTATCAACTAATGTGTTTTATGAATAATATCTGGCATTAAATAAGTGTACTTTAATAAATATTTTTATGATTCGAAATACATTATATTTTATTATTTGAATTAATATGAATTTCAATATGCTTTTATTATAAATAAATTATAATAAATTTTTATTCTCATGTGCATGTTATATAAATTTAAAAATATTTAAACTATAATAATTTTATAAAAAATTTTATTACTTAATTTTACCACTTCATTAATTAGCCAAATCTTTCTATTCTTATGTATTTAGTTTGAAAAGATAGTTTAATCTATCACTTATTTTCTATGCTTAAGAAAATTGAAAGTACAGTGTATAAATACCGACTGAATTAATTAAAAAAAAAATCCAGAAATATAAGAATAAATTAATTAAAAAAAAAAAAAAAAAAAAGAATTATGTTAAATATTATGTTTTCCGAAAAAAACATAAAACATACAAAAACATAAAACATAAAAATTAGTTTTATAATTTTTCTAATAATCGGACTATTTTTATAAAAAACTTACTGTTTCATAATATATATTTTTAATTCAATAAGCCATTTTCTCGCACAATAGATGGAAAATAATCTTATTATAATTTAATTAATAGACTAATGGAAAGCATTTAAAATAAAAAAAGTTACAAGCCTTTAACAATTGTTACAACTCACTAAGTCTATAAGTTATAATATTACTTTTGGCCGAGTATCAGTCATGTATATTTTGAAATAATAGTCTTTAACTTAAATTACAGAGAAAGAGATACCGTGTATAAAAAAAAAATAAATATAATTTATAGAAATTATCGTGTCGTCGATCGAATATGTGACAAACGTATCTAGATAATTCAATCTCTGGTAGTTGAATGTTGACTGCAAGTTGAACACACATACACTTATTTTCCAGAAGATAATCAATATTCTAATTTTATATAATGTTAAATTTTGTTAATATAATATTGTTTTCTCTATCAGTATTTAAATTTTTTACTTATTGATTTTTCAAATATTTTTCATCATTTTCATCAAAATTATTATCAATATTTTTTGATAAAAATTGATTGTCATTATTTAATACCAGCGTATTATTAAAAAACAAAACAAAACAAAAAAAAAGGCAAACAATATTAAGATATTACCATAAAATATGTTATTTACACAATTTAAAGTGCTTACCATAGTGGGCATTTGGTATCCACCAGACTGGACATCAAATTGGAAAAAAAATTTTTACAAATTATATTCTTTTTCAATCAACATAATAATGTTGACTCTCGGATTATCCCAATTATCCCGTTTACTTTTCGTGAAACAAACCTTCAAAGAATTCAACGACACATTCTTTATTCTTTTATCCACTAATTTTACTTATTTTAAAGCAACTTGCCATATATTGATTCGAAAGCGAATTATTAATTTACTCAAGATGTTTCAAGAAAATTATTGTATACCTGACAATGACGACGAAAAGGATATTCAGAAAAAATACGATGATTTTAGCAGGTCAGTGAATCAACTTCATTCTTTTCCAAACGAAACTATTAATTATGGTCTAAAATATTGTTTTTGTATAAGATATTACACATTGCTACATATTTTATTAAATATTCATAGCATATAAATGAATTATTATTATAAATGGATTTTCGAAATATTTTATCCATTAAAATAATCTCCATTCAAAATATATATTTAGGTTCGTAAAATAATGAATAATCTCAATAACTCGCTGATATTGAGATAACAAACATTATAACAAACATTTTTAATTATGAATAAATGAAGAATTAAAACTTTTGCCTTGATAATGTTTATGTTCTTTGTTAAGTATATTGTATACGCGGTTCGTCGTTAACCCCCCCCCCCACCCCGACACACACATTTTCTAATCTCATTGACAATTTTTAAAATACACCAACGTATTTTGAAAACATTATTTTATACTGTTATAAAAAATATAGTAAATTTCTTACGTACTTTCATAGAAATTAAAGCAATTTATTCCAGAATTATGACATTGGCTCTCTTAACACTCGTTGAGGTCACGGCATTTTCCATGATAATTGCACCTTTTAACAATCAAAGTGACCATGAATTAATATACAAAGTGCTAGTACCATATGACTTATCGACTCCACTGAACTACTGGCTAACTTTCATTCATCATACTCTTGGTGCAATATTATTCGCCGCTGTTGCCATTACAAACGATGCCCTGATCGCAGGATTTATGCTGCAAGTTTGTAGTCAGCTGAAATTACTAGAGCACAGGATCACAAACCTACCATCTCACATCCTTAAAGCGCGGGAACAGAATAAATCCGAAAATATTATTCGAGGTTTAGAGAGAGAGTTAATCAAACAAAATGTACAGCATCATAATCATATTTTCAGGTGAGTAAATAGGTGAGTGAATGTAAATATGCGCGAGTAAATAAATGTATAATAATTAAATAGTATTTTCCTTCTTTGTCTTTTTTTAATTAACCGTATCGTGTCGATGAGTAAAAATGGTTGGTGTATTTGATATACCACTCTTTATTCTCATTAAATAATCATAAATTATTATAAATAAATGTATTATTTCTGTAACCTAACAATTTTCTATCCCAACATTGTGGAATTGATATCTGTATTATATAAATATGCAAATGAAGTGATTTTCAATCAATTTACATTAAGTTTATTAAATTAATTAAATAAATTTTATACTACATAGGCATTTACATTAGAATTTATAATAGAATAGTAAATTATTTTTGCTACAACAAAATTAAATCATTTACACGGAAATTATTGTTACAATTAATTTACAAAAAAAAATTTTTGACATCCAATCAATATAAATATTATATAAAACTTCAGATTAGCAAAAATAGTATGTATGACGTTCATTGAAATTGTAATTTGTCAATTTTTCGTTAGTGGTTTCGCAATTTGTGTGAGTATTTATCAGATATCCGCCGGAACGTCCAACAAAATTGAACTAATAACGTTCATATTTTATTTAATGTGCATGTTACAACAATTTTTTGTATATTGTTATTTCGGCAATGAAGTCACTATTCAGGTATGCATTGCAGAAATCTAAAGTACAAACTAATCAGTAAATTTTATTATTTAAAAAATTAAGACATTAAAGATACAAATTTTTTAGAGCAAAAACTTTAACGATACAGTATTTGGTATGGACTGGACCTCCTTATCGATCGAATTGAAAAAGAATTTAACTATCATACTCCTTCGTTCGTCAAAACCAATCCAAATGTTATGTGGACCATTTATACATCTAACATTGGAATCATTTAAAACTGTTAGTCTGTTGTGCATTTTCATCTTAAGTATTTTGATTTTTATATTGGAATTATAAATTATTTTCTACATATTTTTCCAGATTATCAAAACGTCATATTCTGTTTTTAATGTTCTTCAGCAATCAGCTTAATACCAAAATACTAATGTGAATTCATAGTTGTAACAATAAAATTAATAGTGTACATGGAATTAAGTAGGATTTTGTAAAATATGAACCGAATTAGAAAGTATAAGTGTTATCGTTATATTTTATAATGCTACCTTGTTTTTAAGAATAGTCTTACAAATTAATACACAAAATTGAAAATAGTTAATAAGGGGAAAATATAATCAGTTACCAATTATTACTTATATGTAAAGAACACGTATAAATATTCGTATTAGTAAAAAAAACTATTAAATATTCATTATATTGTATTTCATGAATTATGGAAATCATAAAACCTTTAAGATGTTTTATATAAAATAATGAAATAAAATTTATAATTTATAAATAATAATTTTCCATTTGCAATTTATCGAGTATAAAGATTCGTAATAGCTAATATATATATATAAAAAGTTTAAATAAACTATACATACAAGTTTATATAAATTTGGTTTATATAAGTTTGTGCGCGCGCGCATGTTTAAATCGTCGAATTTTTAAATATATATTCGTATTTATATATTGTTTTTATATATTTATGAATTGTTTTTGCTTATTTAATTAATACCGTATGCAATGAAGAATTTTTATGTATAATAAAAAATAATTTCTAAATTCAGATGAAATTAATAAATTATTACGCGTTGAACAGTTTAATATAAACTTTCTTCATTTGCCAAAGTTAAAATACAAAATAACTTCAAATTTTAACGTTGCAATTATTAGCCAAAATCCTACACTTCTTAAAGACACTTTTCTTTTCTTATATAAATTTATATAAAAATTTGCAAAATATCAGAATTTAACCGTGTACCGATCACTTTGCATATATCATTTATTTTCGTAATAATATTAAAAACTGAAAATAATCAAAAAAAGTTTACTAGAATGAATGAAACTTCTATCGTTAAGAATCTCTGCAGTTAATAAATTCAAACAATATATACCAAACTCTAAAATTTATAATTTTGTGATGTATAAAAATAAATAATTGAAAAGACTTTTTGGATAATTTATGTTATAGTTTTACACAATAAATCTTAATAATATTTACATATATTAAATATTACGGTCGTTAAATCCTTTTAATGATTATTAGCATAATAATAATAATAATAATAATAATAATAATAATATACAGAATTATCAAGATATCAATAAATGTACGTATCTTACGTATGGACAATTTACAATAATCTGATAGATTATGGCTCGAGAATTGTTTGAATATTTTTAGGTAAGTTGAGTGATAATAAACATTAACTCTTAAAAATATCTTGATAATAGAAAACCAATGCAATCACTGTAATTGATAAATGTTTAATAATAACTATATATATATATATATATATATATATATATATATATATATATGGTTTTTAAGCTTTTATTATGAAAAAAGAAAAAAAATTATAATAATGATTGCAACGCTAACAGTATACATATATACATATAATTATTACCTTTACTTTAAATAATTATTAAGAGCAATATGTATATATATATATATATATATGTGTGTGTGTCTCAAATATTTAAGCTATTGCAAAATTAATAAGTATTCGATGTTTTCTAGAATAAAAAATGAGAAAAAGTTGCATTATTATGGAGAACCCATTAATATAAACAACATAGCAGGAAGTGATAATACTATAATTTTTCAATACTCGCTTCGAATATGCCATTAATACAAGTTATTTTTAAGCCATTAGAAATTTATCGGCCCAAGGGAAAAGCATAGATAGAATCATTGGTCACTAAATATTCTCATATCTTGCAAAGAAAGAAATAAAGAAAGAAATAAGCATTAGAATCATTAAGGGCTTATAGTTAGATTAGTATGCGGTGATACCAAATTATAGTTTACGTATATTTCAACATTCCTACTTTTTATTTCTCGACAATACTAACATGCATAGAAAAAAAGGATTTACATGGTCGTACGATAATAGTGGGGTGATAAAAGTCAAGTAAAGGGATTTGCCACGAGTTAATAGAACTCTACTCAATTTGAGCCTGCTATACTGCCTCATTAAGAGCTTATAGTCAAGGAAAGAATAACAATATATCATTTCTCGTTTCTTAGCCGATAAACATGTGGTGTGCGTAATAAAAGGGATGAAAATTCATATATGTTAGAGACAATGATACGGCAGAAAGTGAGAAGATCGAATTTTACGATCAATAATTTCATAAATTTAAATCAATTTTAATTGAAAGATGATAATGATAACGATTAAAGGCAAGCGATAGATTTTCTCCATTGTTTACTTCTTTCCAATTCTAGGCCATATTAATTTATTATTATTTTATTTTCTTTCATTTTATTATTTGTTATATTTTTCAAATCATGAACGGACATTATTCAAAAAATTTTATACTCCAAAAACCTCAAATGACATAATACGTTTATTTTTGTATATATTAAGTATTTCCCCCATAATATTATAAGTATAATAAGTCTAAAAATACTATATATAAATTGATAAAAAATTCAAATATCAAAGCCAACAATAATTCAAAGGATTAAATATTATTGAATAATAAAATAGATGATTGTAAGTTACGTCAAAAATTTTGAAACTTATTATATATATATTAGTAGTATAGTAAAATTATTTTCATTATTTTATTTTCATATTAAAAAATTCTTTCAAATTATAGTAAACAATTGAAACAACTATTTATATATACGCCGGAATTGATTATTATTATGTATATTAAATATAATTTGTAGTGTATAAATTTTCGATAATAAATTTATTTCAATTTATTATGTTCGATATATAATTAATTAATGATAAATTATTAATATTGTTAGATAAAATTAATTATTACTTAACAGATATTTCTATTTAAAACTTTTAATAATAAAATACAAAATGTATTTTATTATAATGTAAATATATATAAATGTCATTTCTAGCATTTTTTATATATACGAAATATTTAAGGTATTCAAATAAATTATTTTTTAGCCGATATTTGTTGTTTCCTTACTATATAAAGTCTAATTTTCATATTTATTTGACCTGTTTTACACTTGGAGAGACTATGAGCAACTGACGCCCAACCAAAATTACAATATACTTATAAAAATATTGTTAATAGGTTTATTTTATAATGAAACTTAAATTATATAAATTTTTTTCTTAAACATTTTTAATTATCATTGATTACAAATGATTTTATCACAATGTATATTTTATTATTAAAATTTCAGTCTCGTCATAAATATTATGTGAATTTATAATTTTATGTATATTGCAACTTTTTTTATTCAAAAAGAAATATATGCACTGAAAAATTTAGTGTAAATTAACTTTTAATATAATTTATTCTAATTAATTTCCCAGTATAATAATTAATAATTTTATATGAAGTTTATATTAACCTATTGGTAACAAAATGACTCATTTAAAAAATGAACAAATTTATGTCTCTTATATTTTATAGATCTTAGACGTCAAAAAAATAAATATTCCTTTATCAAAGCAGTAATATTATTCATACTGTTTTATCATTCTGATTTATTATTCGCATTGGAACATAAAAATTTCAAAAAATTTTAATGAAATAAAAGAATTATTTAATTATGTTACATTTAAAACGGTTTTAATTAATATTTCTTAATGTTATTTCTTAATATTAGCGTAACTTAATTAATTGGCATTTATCAATATTACAATAGACAAAACTATATGTATACATATATATATATATATATATATATATAAAAATCCAAATTATTAATAATTAAACATCTTTAATCGTACGTACGTATTATCGGATTTTGATTAAACTTTAATATATATGTAGAGGAAATTTATCAATTCTAAATGTAAAAGAAAAGAGAAAATTAATATAGTTTTATATTATTAAAATATATTTGTTAAAAAGATAATGCTTTTATTAAGTTTGAAATAAATTTTTGTAAAATAATTCCAATTCCATTATAAATTATTGTACTTTCATGAAATATTTACCCTTGTTTGAGATTAAGTATGATTTTAATTTTATTCTTCTGGTTATTATATATTTTACATGAAATAAACTTTAGATAATTATATATTATTATTTATATATTTCAACAAACATCTTAATGTTTTATATAGTTGCACTACTTTCCTAGCGGTAATGAATTAGAAAAGAAAATCTAAGGTGTCACAATACAAAATATTTCCAATTAAAAAATCGTAAAGTAATATATAATACAGTACAAATTTTAAAAAATTAACAGCTTCAATTAACTTGTTAATACATCATCAAATTTATAGAAAACAAATTACTCCTATTGATGAAAAAAAAAAAAAAAAAAAGATACATCTAATTATTTTATGCATTAATGAATATTAACGAAGATAAATTAAAAAAATATAAAATATTTTATAACCGTTAACTTTATAATAATTTGCATATACATAATAAGTTTATATATATATATATATATATATATATATATACATTGAGCCTCTTATTCTGCATTTTGCATTTATTTTGGATTAATACCTCTTATTTTTTTTAATTTAGAATTGATTTGTTATTTGTTATCCAAATATCAAGCATCCGATATACGATTAATAATACATTTTATTTAGTCAGAGTATTATATGAAGAAAAAAAAATAATTTCATAAAATATTTTAGTTACTTATATAATTAAATAATTTTTAATAGATAGCTGATTAAATATTTTATATATCATAATAGAATACAGAATATTATAGATAATTTGTATTTATAAACAATAATAATAAAAATAAATGGTATGTATAATGTCATTTAAATTAATTATCTTTATTATTTAATTATTTATATTGTTCCAGGTGCGTAGTGTACTCCATTGTTTATTAAAAAAAAAAAAAAACAAGCAAATATCTTTAATTTTCAAGATATTTGTAAATTTTAATACACATCAAATGATTTAGGAAATTCCATGTTACTATTAAAATGATTAATTATAGATAATTATGTTTCAATCAA